GGAAACAAATTACCAATTTAAACGTTTTCACAATCCAAAACATTTCGATTGTGCTATTGTGTACCCGATAAAACCAAATTAGTATTAATGTAAAAATTGTTTTACGTTATTATTTGGCTTTAAAATCATGCGGAAACCAAAATATAGGGCAACTGGCAATTGAAAATTCACTAATCCTATTGTTATTGCTAAAATGTTTATTTTTGTTTGTGATGGTTTATTCCTTTAACGTTTAACTTTATATAATGCGATGCAAATTCATCCATTTTTGCCATTATATTTGTGTAAACTTGAGCAGAGCATTGTACTTGCGTTAAGAACCACAGATTTTCTTGATAGATGGAAACCGGATGGTAACCAAGAAAAACTTGGTATTTTCCTGTTTAGGGCGTTTCGGGCACATTAAAAATTATAGAAATTAAATCTCGCGTGTCGAGCGTAGATAATCCAAATAGGGTAGGTAATTAATCAAGTACCCATAAAGGCGTTGCTATAGCAACAACAAATTACTTTTACAGTTATTCTAAAAGTGCGTACACATCTGGCGACCGCAAGGGGCCGAAGCCATTCGACCGAATTCATTCGATGTTTTCGGCGTTCGATGGAAATTTGCTCTGCCGTCCATATTACGGTGAACGAATTCGTTTGCTGTCATTCATTCAGTTTCGCGGATATTTTTCAAGCAAACTTTTGTTGTAAGTGGTAAATATGGCATCCGATGCGGACATAATTATTGCAAGTGCATTGTATATTATTATTACTGAGGCGGAAGCCGAAGCAGGGAAAGAGTCCCCTAAAAGGAATAGACTTAATTAATCTTCTCAAAGCTGAAATGGAATACGAACATTTTCAAAATTTTTGCCGAATGAAGTGTGCTGATTTTGAATGGCTATTAAATGAAATGATCCAAAAATCGCGAAAGATACAAAGTTTAGAGAAGTCATACCGCCAAAAGAAAGGTTAATGTTAACCCTATGATATTTAGCTACTTGTGACTCATATATAAATTTAATGAATACTTTTAAAATTTCAAACAACTCATTTCAAGGATCATACCAGAAGTTTGCTCCGCTATAATTGATACACTTCAAGAATCCGTAAAAGTGACTAAAACAGTTAAACATAATGCTTTAAGTATTTATTGAAAATGTCTAGGGTTCATATAAAAAAAATATCAAAAAATTCCTTAAAGACTATTTTTAAATGCATTAATAAAACTTATAATGGGTGTCGTTGGATTATAAGGTTGCTGTAGCATAGATGGTAAACATTGCGTACTTCAGGCACCAGTACACAGTGGCAGCGACTACTTTAATTATAAAGCAAAATTTAGTATAGTTTTATTGGGAGTTGCTGATCCAAATTATTGCTTTTTGTTTGGTGATGTTGGCTGTCGAGGTAGGACTTCAGATGGAGGTGTGCTAAAGAACTGCACATTCTGGAAAAACCGCAGAATAACGAGCTCCATTTACCACCTGATGACATTCTACCTAGTAGAGATGTGAAAGTTCCCTATGTATTTGTAGGAAATGATGCTTTTAGCCTTAGTGAGCATTTAATGAAGGGCTATCCAGTAGAACAAAATAAGGTTCTAAGAAACATATCTTTAACTATAACTTTTTAGAGCAACGCGTTATTGAACATTTTTTCGGCCTCATGTCAGCTGTTTTTAGAGTTTTCAAAAAAGTGATGGTCCTATTACCTGAAAAAGTCACTTTGGTAGTATTAGCATGCATCTATTTACACAACTTCTTAAGAAAAAGTAAACATTCCCGCAAGACTTACACTCCACTAGGGTCATTTGATGAGGAGAAAGAACGAAAAATTATTCCTGGACTTTGAAGACGGAAACGAAAATAAAAATGCAGAGTCCTTCCTTCCAATACCTAAGAGAGGACGAAAAAGTTCGACAAATTGTGAAGCAATTAGAAATGAGTTTGCTGAATATTATATAAGCAAAGCGTCAGTTGGCAAAATACAAATGCATAAAAGTTAGGTGGCGAATAATAATAATCTGTCTTATTACTGCCTATACACTGCGGTCGAAAAAATCCCCTCCCTATTTTTAAAAAATAATAAGTGTGGCGTTAAACCTCATTTTAGAAGCAATTTTATTGCCCGTTTGAAGTTGACATTTCAACTTATGACGCATGCGCCACTTGTGATTTTCTATTTAGGGATTCGTCACAACTGACGAACAAATGAAAGCATTGAAAAAATCTCATTACATAATATGAAAACAGACGCAAATCTAGGTTAAAATAACAAGTTTTTCTTTGAAAACAATATATCATAATATTATGTTCAGTCGTTAGCAGTGTTTTTAATTTCTTTTGGTGTAAACCGATCCATAAAGAAGAACATATCTTTAAAAGCGAATCAGCTTTAAAAGAGTTATCTTGTTTTTGTCTTTCATGCCGGAATGACATCAATAAAGATTCCATTTTCTTTTTGACTTCTCCTGTATCGCCTTTCATAATTTTGCTGATATCACAGGCATCAATTTTCTTTATTTTATTTTTGTAATCTTGATGCACTGGATTCCATGAAACATCCAATAAGTTTTAAACAAGAATTAGTCCACTCCATTATCGCAAAATAGAAAATCAAAACAAAATCGCGACGACGCCGGTCGACACTTTAATTGGAAGAATATACACTAAACACGGCCAAACGAATTCGTTCTTCAATTTTCTTTTGATGTACCACCCGGTGAGCGCACTCTCGCGAAGGCAAACACATACGTTCGCTGCCGTTTGTCGGACCGTGCACATTTACCGAAGGCGTTCGATACAATGGCTTCGGCCACATGCGTTTGCCAGGTGTGTAGGCGCCTTAATGAATTTATATAGGTGTGCTTCAATTAACGACACCGGTAGAAGGATGGCATCATCGTCTTGAAAAAGCGCATCTAAATATTTATGAATTGCATAAAATCCTTCAAGAAGCAACATGATACTACGATATTATTGTTAAACAAACTGAGCTGACTATGAACATCCAAGGAATACGCCCGAAACCCAAAGGTTTTATGATACCGCCCGAAACAAACTCAAACCAAACCCTTACTGAAAACTGCCAATCACCTAATATTAATATTCATTTATAATTTGAAAATTATGAGATATAGAACTGTGCTCGAAAGAGCAAAATTTAAGCCAACCTCCTGATTTACGGCATGTTTAATAATAAATATTAAAAATTATTTTTGACCAGTACTTTACCTGCCATATTTTGTAGGAAGTGTAGTAAACCCTATGAAATATATACTAAACGGCTGGCTACTACCAGATGCGTACGACAGGGGCAAGTGACCGGTTGGCCCTCACCAAACTTTCCGCCACTGGCGGAATTGCCGTTTTTTGATTCTTTTTCTTTATATGCAAATAATAGGCTCTTTCTTTGTAAGTTAAACATAAAGTTGCGCAATTAATTTGATGTTTATTATGTCGGATATTTTGGTTACAATCTAGATAAAACAGCAATTTTAATAACTTGAAAATATAAAGCATAGCAAATGATTCGGCTTAAATCGTATTAATTATTATTATTAGCCAGTTTAACAGCGCGATACCATGGAAGTCCATACAGAATGGTGAGCTGATCGAAAATACAACAAAGTGCTTTACGGACAAATTTTGTTCATATATGTTTCCTCCTAGGCGGGGTTGTTCCTATTTTTTTTCTTTAAATAGAAATGTGGTCTAGCGAAATCTTCCTTAAAAATACCAAATATCTTTTTGACTAGTTTTGGTGCAAACCTACACAACAATTAATTCCAAAAATCTATTCACGTATCATGCGATTAAATGCTGGCTTGCTTGGTACAAGAATATGTTGCTGGGCATACGCATACTTCAATTTTTCAAAGATACTTTAAAGGCACCCATGTACAATTCTGCCTTTTAACCCAAACCAAAAGTTGTGCGACTCTGTATATTCCACGATGGGACATAACGACACAGGGTAAGTTGCGGATACGGAAGCCTAAAGCCCTCCATTATAAAAAAAAAATGGCATTATGCAAATCCTTTCGACAAAGCAATTTGTCACTCATTACAGTGGATCAATAAGTTTGAAATTATCCGCTAATGGAAGCTGAATTTTTTTGGTCAATCCAAACCGGCGAGGCGGAGATATAGGGCTGAACGGACATAGTTGGAAAAAGTTTCCAAAGCGATTTCAGCCCGGAAAATGTCGAAATATGCAAATACGAAACAATTGGAGGTTCGGTTTTTTGAATCTTTATTGATGTTATGATTGGTGGTAGCGACGAAGTTTTCTATATACTTTATACTGAACGTTGTTAAAAATATATTAGATAGTTATAATTTACGAAATATCAAAACTTTTTAAATAGAAAACAATACGCACATTTTTCATATAAAAGTCAATTTAATTTAAATAACCGTTCATCCATGATGAAAGTTTTATTTATTGAAATGCTTCTTCGCTAAACTTTTGGCATTCCATTAGTCAGTTTATTTTGCATTTTTTAGAAGTCAACATTAATTCCGTGAAACTTGACATTTTCTGCCTGAATCGCCATAGCCCTTACAGTATAAAATTAAATACAACAGTAAGAAAAAGAAAAAAATAAAAAAATTAGGATATGCTAAATTTTTTCGACAGAATAAACATATTTTACTATTTTCAATCTGAACCAATAATTTGTCATAAATATTCTTAGGTTCTTCTAGGTTCCAAATTATAACAGAGAATAACAAGTAATAAGTTCCGATGAAAAATTTTAATTTTCTGGATTCGAATTTTTAACATTTATTTAAAAATCGAAAACTCTGGTCCTTCTTTAAGGGGGTCGCAAATATATACCACATTTTCTTAAAATTCAAAAGCCAATGGAAAAATTGAAATTCTAGAAGTTAATTTAATTTATTATTTCAGTGTTCAGTCAGAGAACAAAAATGCATTTTCTGTAAACTCTGCGACCTGAATTATCTAATGACAGAATGAATCTAATCTTTCCTCCCTTGTTACAGGTGACCTTTGATAGTTTCACCCTAGGCCGTTTCGTATCGTTCACCGTCGACGGCTGTCCTGATGGTGCCCTACAAATCACTGAGGCAAACCGTCCGCAGGTAAAGAAGTTACTCTGCTTTATCGGGCTTTACGAGTCGCGGAGCGCACACTGCTAGAATTTATCGATATTTAGGGCCGCAAATAAAATTCTAAAGTGCCTGAAAATCCACTAAATTTCGTTTGGGCGAGCTAAGAAAATAAACAGATTTATGCGATCCTGTCTTTGAGTAAAAGGAAGAGCTTTGTTACGCAAAAGTCGTGTGTTGCATTTAAACTACCAATAATTCCAATTTTTTCTGTTGAAACATCATCTGGATAATAGAAACTGTAGTGGGTGATGATTGAGAGAGTGGCTTACAAGATTAATAATATAGACTTATGGCAGATGAAAACCATTTCTGGGGATATATATGACTGTTTACAGGAAATACTTTCATTTTGATTAGTGGTTTTTGTTTAATACAATAATAGTTTTAGTTTTTCATATTTTCGTCTCTATGATCTAGATAAAAACCTTCGAATCTGTAAACGAAATCATTTTCTGGAATACATATTTCTTGAAACTAGTGACCATATATACCGGTCAGTTTTAAATATGGGATATATATATTCTCAATGTAAAATTTCTAATTTATAGCGCTCCGACTCAAACAAAGTTATCATCTTTCTAAAATCCTACAGAGGAAAGGAAAAATGAATGTTTATCTGTGAAACTTTATAAGTTCTGACGAGACTAATTTCATAATGGGAACCTAGGTGTTTCAAGTTATCACCGTCGCATTGTTCTGGTGAACTCGAGATTAAAAAAATCGGCCAAAGAAGTTTTTTCGGCAGATAATTCTCTTTTTGTCTCAAGTGTGAAATCACAATGATGATATGACGTCATATTCAAAAATTATGATAACTTTACCGTACAATGTTACTATTCCCGCACGTCAGATTCCTAAAAGCTAACAAATTTTGTAAACATCGTCGGGCTATAGGTGATATTTCGTAAACACTAATGCATTATGGACGGTATTCCAACGTGAACTCTATCTACTCCAATTACGCGCCAATGGACACCTTGTTTGTTCAATAACCATTTTCCTTTGTATCGGTTAATGAGCGAATTGGTCCATCTCCGCGCTTTAATATCTGCGAGCGACTATAATTATTAAGGGTCACAATTAACACCCGTTGATAAATTAGTTAGTATGATAATAATGACGATGTGTTTGGTTCTAGGTCGGTGGATCGTGGTGCGGAACGTCTTGGGGCCCAGTGATATACTATAGCGAAACCAAATCCATAACGATTCACGTCAACCTGTTGAAATTGTCAAAGGTTGAGAACGGATATAATTTCGACTACCGAATGGAGTACAAGTTTTTAAAGAAGAGATCTGCAATCGTCAGATACGGCGGCAGTAAGTTAAATTTTATTGCACCACAATTAATACTTTAAATAAAGAAATTGGAAAGATCCTCTTAAAGTTCGCCAAATAACATTGTTGTGTAACGCAGATTTTCATAAGCATTCATTTACTGATAGAGGTAGAGAATAGTTTAAAAAAGTATCACGAAAATTTGAATTTTTGGGGTTAATAATATTCGTCGACCGGGTGTCCAATATATAATATATAAATTATTGTAATATACCTATTTTTTTAAGCGTTTGTATCTTAAAGAGTCAGTATTTCATTTGAGAAAATCGATTTTTGTTTGAACATAGCCAGTCAAAAAATAATCTACGCCAATAATTTCTACGTAAAAACATATATATAAAAACATTTCCATATTTCGAGTTTCAAAATCTCCCAAAATAAGGAAGTAATTATAATTTTATTTTTGCAAACAAGTATTAAACTATCCTGAGAAGCCCCGTGATGGTAACTGAAATTGCACACCGTGTATATGTACGTTATTTTATTTGCACAGATTTAACATTCTAATATGTGCAAATTTGCAGTATGCAGTATCACGAGTATTTGAAAAATAATTTGAATTTTTGGGGTTAATAACATTCGTCTACCGGGAGTCCAATATATAATATATAAATTATTATAAAATACCTATCTTTTTAAGCATTTGCATCTTAAAGAGTCGGTATTTCATTGGAGAAAATCGTTTTCAATTTGAACATAGCCTTTTGCATGGTATTATATTTTTCAAAAGGTTTTAAAGAAATATATTCTATGACCCGTCAAAAAATAAACTGATTTCTACGTAAAAACATATATATAAAAACGTTTCCATATTTGGAGTTTCAAAATCATCCTGCTTTTCGCAAAATAAGGAAGTAATTATAATTTTATTTTTGCAAACAAGTATTAAACTATCCTGACATACCCCGTGAAGGTAAATGAAATTGCACACCCGGTATATATACGTTATTTTATTTGCACAGAGTTAACATTCTAAAATGTGCAAATTTGCAGTATGATATTCATTAGCAACTCCAAGAAAGTTCTGCGAAATTTCTACAAAACCTTAAGAAACAATATTGTAACAAATAGCTTTTGCTTAGTTTTGGGTAACGGATTACTTACTTTTACTAGAAGTCAATATTAGATATTGGCGATGCTTTTCTAAATAAATATTCCATGACATTTTTTTAACTAGACACACAGATAGAATTAGAAATACAGATATCAACCAACAATAACCACTTAAAATCCGAAAGAAATCTAATTTACTAATTAAATTGGCCTTTTGTATGCCACTTTTATCAAGACTTTTACGCACGCCTTCTCCGCGAGCGGGAAAAGAATAAAAACCCTCGAAACGTCAACTTCAGAGAGCTTAAAACCCATTCCGCTCCGGAGCTTGGAAAAGCCCATTGTCTGCCTTAATTTAGTTTAAACGACTGTCGCCTCTAAAGAACCGTTGTAGAATATGTACAAATATTTAGTTTCTTAGTTATTTTATTGAGACCTTAGTTTGTGTTTTCTTCCTTGGAAACAGTTGCACACTTGTAAATTACGGATTATTTGCTCTAGTGCAAATTGCTGCCCTAATTCGTTTACAAAACCAGTAAAACCGTTTCGCAGAATATTTCCCTAGTATTTTTATGGAGGGCAAACGAATGTCATGGAATTTCGTTTCTTTACATGAAAAATCTAGGATTTCCCATTTTCAAGTCGCTCTGGCGGTCGTTATGTTCTGTGATTGAAACTATATCAAATTTCAAAATTTCCATTCTTTGTTTCTACGTTAGTCTTTCTTTAAACATACACTTTGCTTATTTGGATTTAACTCTTTAATTAATACAATCCCTATTATATAGGATATCAACAAATGATAGCACAAAGTTTAACGGTTGATTCTATTCGAGAAAATGTCCTTTTCAATTTTTAGACCAAATTAAAACACCTAATGCTAGGGGGGTTTTGGCTGACTTCAAAAAATGTTCTCAAACATTATTGTTTCTAATTTTTTTGTGATTTTTAATGCTTACAATTAAAAAACGTTTAAAAGATACACTTTCGTTACTCCACAATAAAATTAATCTTTGTTTTCTTTGATATTAAGTTCTCGAGTAGAATCATTCCTCGATTTTTTTATCATTTCCGGATATACTTATTCCTGACCTGAAAAAGTTAGGGAATTGTAATTGATTGACTAAAGATAATTTTGTGTCTATTTTTGAACCCTTCCATTTTAGAAAATCAGTTATATGAACAATGAAAATATTCTTGCGCAATCCTTGGTTTCACAGTAAGATGTGATTGGAAGAACCTTGTTATATAAACTCTACTAATAGTTAGAGTAAAGCGCAAAAGTAGTGAAAAGTGGACAATCCGTACAATCTAATTTAAACCTCATTCGACGTTAATTTTTGCTACCGCGACGAAGCGGATAAGTTTTAATGAAACATGTTTTTTGGCAACTACTGCTTTCCTAATTTGCCTAACGACATTCTCGTATAAAATGTTTCAAAACACTCGGACAAGAGGGCAACATTCGTATAATTACGAAGTGCATAAATATCATTATTTCTGTTTACTCGAAAATGAGGTCGGAATCTCATTAGAAGCAACGAGACACGGAATAGGGATTCTGCCTTTAAAACCTTTGAATGCCGGACGGGATGTAAAGTCCTGGTTCCTAACTAACATTTACTGAAGAGACCAAATAAGAAGCGTAGAGCGAATTATTCATTTTAAATTGCGCCAGACTCTACGCTATATCCTGGTTGAAGAAAAGGAAAATTACCGTTGATGTGATAAGGACGAATTATCACCCAAGAAGCACAAAAACTATTTGATTTGTGTATCAATAACATCAGGCTTTATGTTCCAAACTCCATTGCATATTTTAGAGTAAACAATGCAATTCTTCTGAAATTATTTTGCCATAAACTGTAATAACAACTAAAAACATTGATGGCAATTTTCAAACAAACCTTGAGCTACTTTTTGCAGTAGTATGAGCATCAGTCTAATATTTGTTCTAGAGGAATTATAAAATACAAGGTGCTTCATTAGAAAAATGTATTCTACCATGCAATGCAGACCCTCCTGTATAACGCAGAACTAGGTCGTCTACACATACATGCGACCTTGGTACAAAACCCAAAAAATGTCAGGATTCTGTGACTTCAAACATGGCTGTAATAAACATCTTACTTGAGCAATCTTTTGAACAGAAAACATGGAAAATATATACCTGATATAGGGAAATATTAGAAAAAGGCATCAGAAAATAAGGGGGAACCGGAAACGAATCCGCTGAAATTGATTTAATTTTCGGACAAACGATGTGTATCGTTATTCGTCTATATATTTTAGTATACTGGATTGAGGTGGTGCAAAGTATGTTCTGCATTGACGGTAGACACTCAAAAACAAAAAACAAAATTAAAATGTAACATTTATGAAAACTGAACTGAGGTGGCTTTTACTTAATGAAAATCCATTTATCAAAATAAATAAGAACTAAAAGTTCAGATTTTCACGAAATTATATATTATGACATGATTATTGTTTCGACAACACCGTGTCTTTATCAAATGTAATATTTACAAACTACCTGCTACTATATATACCGAAAAATGACCATAAAACCTTAATTAATGTTGTTGCGAGAATTTAAGTTCAATAAAGGAGAGGTATCTAAATCTAATTGATCGTTAAGCAATACATTTGAATGTCTCATTTTGTTAATCTCCATGGCTTCCAATAAGTTTAATTTTCTACTTTTTGTGGCTGTGTGTAATATATCAAAATTGTCGTTAAAAATGTGTTTTTCTGTGTTTAAGTGTGTAGCATAATTAAAATCTAGAAAGAGAAAGGAGAAGCGGCAGTATGCTTGAAATATAATTTTTTTCTTCAGGTGCTCCATTAATTTTTTTCAATGGATCTGCGCCTCCTACGGATATTCCCGAACCAGATTATTACCTGGGGGAACTAATAGCTGGCACGTACTGTTCCCGAATATTCAGCGACTGTGATAAGAAACACTGCCGTCTCCAATCACCCAACTTCCCGGGAATCTACCCTAGGAACCTTACCTGCTATTACGCCGTACGGCAGCACGAAATACCACCAGGTAACAACTGCCCGTTTTAGGGAAAAAAAAATCTGAACGGTTAGTTCCTGACAAAACCAAAACCAGAAAATTTAATTCTTGCTGCGATGTTATAAAAAGTTAACCAAGTTACAGCTGTCAATTCATTACTCCTTTAGCTAAGTTTTTTTACATTTGATCCTAAAATTGGTAAATTTAAAATTTTCGTATTCTGCAATCCTCTATTGAACCGCTATATAAATATAAAACTACACTTTTTGCGTCATCTTAATCCTTCTAAAGACTTTTATTTGGGCGCAGGTTTGAGAAGTGTGTAGGAACGGAAGCGCAAGTCCCAGAACATAAAAATACAAATGTAATTTCAATTATATTTAATCTTTTAACTTTGGCAAACTTTTCACACGCTGTCAAACTTTTATACTGTCAAATATTTACACTCCCAAATATTTACTCAACCCTCAGACTCAGCTCTAGTTCGAAGTCCGTTACTGTGTGAGGAGGTAACTTATACAGGTAGTCTGAGGGTTTTGGTCCCCAGTTGTGAGTACTTGATTCTATTCACTGCTGGGCATCTGCACAATCATCATATCAGTAGAGGTTAAAGTAAAAGTGCTTGAAAAACTGACATTATGTATATATTTAACATAACAATTTTATCATCATTGTTGACTGCGTTGCTGTTGGTTATAATATGAATTAATATACATTCTTTAAAAAATGTTATTGACAAATGTTAAAATTGCCACCTAATTACCTAAAACCGAAAATGATACTGATTGCAGGTCTAAAATGGGATTTGGAAATTTTCTGTTGATTCGAATTAGCAACATATTAACATGTGTTGGAAATTTCGAAATCGTGCATTTTTATGAAAATCCAGATTTAAGCGAGGATTGCCAAAAAAAAATCATTTTCGGATATACCGCGTGGCTCGTTTAATATGAGATGATAAATCACAGATCACTGAAACTATATAATATAAAAAAACATAAAGGCAAAAGTTCATCCGTACCTTTAAAATGTGATATTCTTCTGTATACAACATGTTTATACTTTCGTGGACCAGTAACATTTTTTTTTTATTTTAAATGAACTCAGAACTTTCTAGACAATATCCATGACCTAAGTCAAAGTCAAAGCCGGGCTTATGACAAACGGATCGATCGACCTTTTACAAATTGCTCAAATAATTATGCGGTTAGTTGATCTGCGTAGAGCCCACCACCTAGCCGAGGAATTTCTTACCGCCATCTCTGTAAAGTAAATTCTCCGAATTGGCCACGTTACGTTATAGGATGCAACGAACACTGGGGAATTTTAGATGCTGCTTAAATTCCAACGCCGCGTTCCGAAATGCGATTCCTGTTTGCTCTTTTGTCGTGGTGCATACAACGTTTAGGTACGGGGAAAGGGTAGTAATTAAGTTAAACTAAGCAAGGTAAGCGGTGTAGGGGTGGGGGGTAATTTCGTCACCTTAAGGCCTCCGTTCCACAAAATCTCCGAACTATTCCATTCCATGAATAGTTTTCATCCCTCACTCGAAAATGTTATTATGTATAAATAAAATAACTACCACACTAGTGGCGCCATAGTCATAGACTGATTTGAACAGATTTTAATAGTTTGGGTTCAAACGACGAGCAAAATGCTTATTTGGTTAGAATCAGTTCAATGAAGAAGATCTCGTCCAGCCGAAGAAGAAGCAAAATTTCCGGATGCTTATTTTGCTTATAAAATAAGAGTTAAACGCGGTGGCGTTGCAAACGTGTGTTAAAGCAATCCAGTCTCTTCACGGTGTAAGTAAACGTAAAATGGAATTCCCTCAGAAAAATTGAAAAGCTACAGGACCGTGTGGAAAAGGCAAGCGATGAATGCATAGTTCCACGCATAGCATACGTAACCAGGTAAGTTCGTTTAAAACTCGATTACCCCAATGCTTTGACGAATCTATGAAAAAATATTTGCCAGAAAGTTTTAACATTACCAAAACACAAATGGAAATGGAAAAAAGGATAATACCGTCACCGTTGGAGGTAGTGGAAGTGAACCAAAACATGTGGGACCTTTTTTAAATGATAGATATGTCAAAAAATGTCCCCGTCCTATACAGAAAATTAAACAAAAAAAAACTGCTTGGGAGCATCCAAGGCTTATCAGATTCTTAACAAGTTTTTACGATACCTGGATGGAAATTCCCATTACTATAGTAAAAAGTAAAGTCCAAAAGAACATCAACAGTCAGACATGTATTTCAGAAGGAGAGTTTGACCTGCCACCACCTGCGTATACCGGTAAGTCACAGTTTATGGATTAAAGAGAATTCATTAAATCGGACAAGTATTTATAATCGATTTCTTAAGTTCACACATGGGGACGGTTTAACATAATCGCAAGCTGAAACGTTGCGTATATTAAAAAAGTAAAAATTAAAAGTAATTATTATTATGCTTATCCTGCTTTTTCTAGATCTATAACCTGCAGCAAAATACAAAAATCTGATGACCTTGATGAAGTTTTGTAAACATGATGTTCAGGTCTATTACATTGTCCTAGCTTATCAGTACAATTTATTAGTATGTAATTGGAGTAAAAAAACATTTTTTTCTTCTTCTAGCTTATATATTACCTGTGATTAATTTTTAGCCTTTCTGTAAGTTTGTGCAACCAATGCACCCAATGGTGACTTTGGGACATTTCCTTTTTTTTTTTCGTTTTTTTCTGCATTTAAGATTATTTTTAATTTTTTTCTTTATGTTAAATATCCAATTTTCTCGCAACAAAGATAATGTCATTTCTTGTTTTTTTCCTCCACCTTTCATCATCATTCTTTATATCGCATTCATACTTCATACGTCATACTTCATTACTGCCTCTATCTACTATTTGTTCAATCAGGCGCCCGCTCCCGTATCCTAGAATTTTTTTGGTAGCATACAGAGCCGGACCCGGCCGTATATTGGAAAACGGCGTGCGCTGTGAAGATACAGCGGAACAGATTTTTTATATACCTAGCAGACGAGTCCGCTTTTACGTGTCTGCTGTTTACTAGATATTTATGATTAAATTTTAACAGATTATCGCAGTTATTGTTATATTAAAATGCCATTAAGAAAAACACAAATACCACATATATTCTTATAAAATGTGTAAAATCTTTCTTTTATAAGTTTCCTGAAAATGACCTCGTTTTTACAATGAATTTCTAGTCAAACTTCATAAAAAAAATTGTGGCTTAATTAAAATTTTTTTCAGGTAAACACGCTTTAATAACTGTCCGCCAACCTAAAGGGCAGCTTATATCGATACGCAGCCAATCTTCGTTGTATGGAACGGCAACACCCAGAGAACTTAGAGTTTGGAATGCATGTGATGACGTACAGGATTACGTCACTGTTTATGACGGGTAAACTGTGTTATCGCCACTGATTTTAATTTCGAAAATTGATACATAATTTTGAAAAGTTTCTCTGAAAAATGCAACCTCTATGAAGGAAATAACGGATAAGTGTCGTAGGAAACGAAAAAGTTCCCAACGTCCACTACCTACCTAACCCACTCAAAGGAAAACGAAAACTAACCGAAGTATTCGTTATTATTCCTTTAAAACACCAACAATTTTTTTATGTATTTCGCAATACCTAAGTACATACAGTGGAAAATAACCTACAATGATCGCTAATACATAGTATTTTCTTATAGATATACCACCCGGGATGCCGTTATACTTAAATTTTGTGGCGGAGGAGAAGCTGTCCCTGAAGCTGTTTCCAGCGGTCACGAACTCCTGGTGGAATTTTCCACATCCCCTTATGGGACCTTCTTACAACCCGCTCCCGTGCAATCCTTACATGGCTTCCAATTAGAAGTTGAGGTATTGTGTAATATGTGTAGAACTCTCTTTTCTTCCTTGTAACTTCCGACCAATCAAATTCTGCTTACAGGTTAAATTTGTGGACCAGCAAACACCAACGTTCGTCAAACAAAAGCGCAACTGTGAGTTCTGGTTAAGAGGTACTAATAGAGGCATACTAGAGAGCCCTATACACTCCTTGCCAGCTAATACCACCTGCCTCTACCACCTTCAGGTACACTCTCTCAAATACCTCCGTCAGACTATATAACATGTATAACTTATAGGGCATGGATCCGATCGCTTCCACGTCACCGGCACCCTTCAGACCGATGAACCCGCGTTACCCAGATTGGAGACACGTGGGTATGATAACCCCGCCTCCTCGCTACAGAGTCTGGTTGTCGGTGGTGAAATTTCACGCTGGAAGTTCGTGGGATCCTCAGAAACCCGACAAGATTTGCAAGAGCTATCTGAATGTGTGGGACGGCCAGTTATGGACGCCAAGTAATTGTGAGGGGCTTTATTGGTAATTATTTGACATACATTCCATCGTTATGTTTTTTAACTCAACCAGCAACCAACCAAATTAGAAATATAATTAAAGCGACGTTTTCAGTTCTCTCATGAGTGTTAAAAAATGAATTAATTTAACAGTTCACTCAAGCTTCTTAGTCAAGTAAAGACTATATATAATTTCTTAACTTGGGACCCGATATCGAGAAGCACTTGATAATATATTAATATAAAAAAAGCTTCATATTGGTTGGTTTGGATTTATTTTACTTCTATTGAAGCACTTTCAGATTTATGAATAGCAGTGCCAATGTAAAACTTAAAAGCTACGTAAATAATTATTACGGATTTCAATATTATCCGACAACCCACACAAATTCCTCAAATTCACAGACACCCGATTTACATATCAATCCAAACGTAAATTTGGCGCGGTAAGTGATGACGCTTAAGTTGGATCGTCAAATTGATGGTCCTAATTTGAAGGCTTCGCGACTCAACCTAATAATTCACAGATACTTTACGGCATCAGACGAGAGCGCCAATTGAAATTTTGGTGACGAAATTCTTGTTTCCAGCGGGCCTTACAACAAACTAACGTCAAAAAATCTCGGAAGCGGGAGCCTTTTGGTATCCAAAAGCAGCTCTTCGATGTCGAAAGCAACAAAGAATATTACCTTACTGGGACGATATTGCAGAGAGCACATACCGCGTAGCTGCGATCACTCACTCTTGGCCAACACTACGAGATTTCCAAGACCGTGTAGCTTAATCGAAAGTTTCCTCACTTCCGGCGATACGCTGACATTGGAATTTAAGCTTGGAGATTCTACAGCTTTAAGGTAGGAGTTAGTATTAATAGCTCTACTTCCGAAACATACTGGACACATTGGACATTGTATGGAGACATGATTTACACAATTTTATTTAAGAAAACGTTTTCCTTTAAATTTGTTTCCTCAAATGTGCAGTTTAAAAAACTCGCAAAACCTAAAAGGAAACTGTGATTAAAGCAATAAACAGTAACGTTTTAGCAAAGTTACTTATTTTTATAATTAGCTTTGGACTTTCCAAATCTACATACAAATATTCTACACGATCACTGGATATTCGCCGCGCATGTCTTAAAAAGTCTAACAAAACGACGTTCATTCCTTGGAAAATCTTATATTATACAGGTAATCATTTATTGAAGATCTTTTCTAAATCTTTTGCAAACCTAGTAAAAGCTATTTTACTTGATAAAGTAGCAAAACTGGTCCGGATTTTTTTCTACTTCTCCAGGCGTGTATTTTGTCTTCTTGAATAACTGTAAATAAAAATAAATATAGCTTCATTATTCTTTAAATATTACTTTGCAGTGCTGTGTGAAAAGATTCTGTTTTTTTAGACACAGTTCCCCATGTCAACAGCATGTCAAGAATACACATCAAAAACAAATTCCTTTTATTAAATGAGCAATAATAAAAATTTGAGATAAAATATCCAGCAACTGTTCTGTATGTACATTATGAATATCTTTATTGTTAAGGACCGAAGCGTACGGCTTATACAATATATAGTGAATTGTAAAAGCTTTGTTTTCCTGGTAAACAGTGCATGCTTGATGTGGCATTTTCAATTTGTGTTCTATGTTAATTGGAAGCAATCTTCGTTCATTTTTTTCTAGACGGGGGAAAACATTTGCAAGACAAAAGAATATAAAAGTATTTTTTCTACTGCCGTCTGTAAAATACCTGATTACACACCGATCTAGCGTGCGGGAAGCGTCACTTTACCACGTCCGTTTCGTTTCTCACGGATCCGAGCGACTTCGGACATTCCTGCGATTTTACCGCACGGGTTTGGGAGCAATCGGATGTTTTCGGAGATATTTTCCACGCCTTAATTTTTGACGTTTGTCAATTCTGACGGCCATGTCAGTGAATGTATTCATGTTTTCTGCCAAAAAGTACCCGTAAACTAAAGGTCGTAGAAAAAGTATAACATGTGACACGTTCGGTAAACTTTTTAAGTCACTCGTGAATCAAATGCCGTTTACCGTACTTATTCTATAATATACTATTCCTGTAGAATTTTAAACCGTATCTTCAGCATCACACATGTGTATTTTCGATGTTTGAAATGGTAAAACCTAGATGTATGAAAGGTCTTGCAATAAAACAAAACTTTAACCCACGAAATTTGATATGTTTAAATAGTTATAATTCGTTTATCTATGGACGACGCTGTGGATAGCCTGTAAAAATATAGAGGAAATCAGTATGCACTATATCGTTGAGCAGGCACTATAAACTACACGTAACCCATTACATCGTTATCTCCTTTTTTTTTTCAATAATCATAAACATTTTTCTTTATTTTTATAATTGTTTATGATATGAGGATTTACATTTTCGTTTAAGATTTATTTTGAATCTAAAATCTACTCAAATAATAACACCAAGTTTCCATATTTTCGCAATGTAATTTTCTGAATATAACAAGTAAACAATGATATTATAACACGAGAACCCAGAAGTTGCTTAAATATCTGCGGTCAGTATAAAAAATCATTTTCGAATTATTTATAATTAAGTGTCTCTTGAATATATTAAAAACAAATCACTTTTCAAGATGTAAACGGTCTAATACTGTGTTGAAACTCTAACTTATCACAGTCCCAAGAAATCCACGATATCTACATGCTATAATGCTTTAGCAACATGATACGTAATTTAGGAGTTAGAACAAAACATCAATACTGAAAATTTTGTTGTTTGGTTATTCTTTTTTCTGGTTATTTTTAAGGCCAGTAAGCTTTAAAGCACTTTATGAATTTGTGGACATCCATCTAGATGGCGAACCGTACGGCGAGGGACCGTGTTCCAGAAAATTCGCCGGTTTTCAAAGCGACAACCCGCAGAAGTTCAGGTCGCCAGGGGATATTTTTTTATATGGACGCGGTGGTTCAAAAAACATTAGGTGAGCCATAACGTTATGTTTAGAAATGCTTAAATTCAAGCGATACACCGATCCGCTGCAGAATGACCTACGAAACTTACACAGTGTTTAAGATGTCCTAAAACTGATAGAGCACCATTGTTGTCTTTAAAAAATGCAAAATAGAGCTAATTATTTTGAGTAACAAACTCAAAAATAAAAATTATACTTAAATAAATTTGCGTCTATGACCATATGAAGCATTTTTGTGGGAAAGGAAAATGGAAACTAGTTTCGGAAACAATTATTGAATTTTAATGTTCCGCATTGTGCACTTCATAAATTATCAACAATTGTTACTCTTCTTATCTGCAATATTTGAACGTTTTTGAAGCAATTTCGTAGCAGGTCGATAGCCGCTTCTTCTGTTGATACCGTATTCCTCATTGATAAGACACCAGATAAAGAATCCATCTATTAATTACTTTGTCCAAAATTTCTAAAAGTGTTTGAAATTGAAATATAATTTTTTTTAATGAAGTGTCCTTCGAAATAGTTTATAGTGTAGGTAATCATTGAAGAAAATATTTCAGACAAGTAAATTTTAAAAAAAGGACGTTCGGGAAAACTGGATAACGACCTTTACAATGCAAATGAGAACATGGGTATCAGAATCCATGAACCGGGAACAGCATCAGAACTGCCAAAATAGAAATGAACGATGCCAAAAACGAATACTTCGAAATCCTACGTTCAATTTCGAAAGTCGTGGTGGATCATGCTTTAGCTCCAGAAAAAGATAGGATTACAATCTAAAAGAAGATGCCAAGCGACTGGATATCATCAAAGGTTCACTTTAGCGCTTAGAGGCAACTGAAAATCACACATGAAGCTAACGAAGAAGACAATTTAATGTTTATTAGGTCATTGCAAAATTTATACTTTTATAACTAGGTTGTTGGTTTCCATTTCCATTCTGCTACCACAATTTAAAGATTAAGGTGTTTATCACCTTACACTACCTAACATAACCGTTTTTTATTTCTCGGACCTTATGTGGATTCTTGTCTATCCAGTTTTCCGATCAACGTTACATTCATTGCTTTATGTTGTATCAATATTTGCCGAGATTTCGACCCGCAGAGCATTTTTGCTAAAAAAAAGACAAAACGTAACCCAATTCTCGATTTTAGTTGTATCTACCGATTCGAGGGTCAAAAGGGCGAACGGATCAAGTTAACCCTAACGGACGTGAGGATAAAACGCCGTGGATGTGATACGCAATTGAATAAAGACACCGACCGATTGGAATGTGTGGGCAACGTGTCGGCCACTCTAAGGGTTTTCGAAGTCCCTTGGCACGACGTTCCAGGTATACCGAGGTAAAACAATTTCAGCACGTTAACTATCCCGATATTCGATAAAGAGCACAGCAAACGAACTCTTAAGTCGGCGTATGGTTTTTTTTTTTTTTTGAAGACGAAACTAAGACCTATTTAAGCTGGCTTGTTGCTTTCATTCAGCCGTTCGAAAAATATCTAACTTTTTAATAATAATTTAGTTTATTTTAATGTTTATTTAGGCCGTTAAGATTGTAAGTTTAATTTTAATTTTATTTGATTGTTGCTCCCGAATTTAACCTTTTTTTTTTCATTATCTTATCAACTGTTCTGGGTGTTTTTTTGTAGACTTCAATTTTGCCTTCAATTTATTATTTCATTTCATATTTATTATTATTATTATTAGTATTAGTATTATTATTATTATTATTATTATTATTATTATTATTATTATGTTCTCTCTTGTTTTTTTTCTGTATATATTACCTGAAAAAAGAGTAAATTAATATTATCCCACTTATTTCCAAAACAACTTCTGATCGCCGTCGCACCCTGAAAAAAACAATAGAACATATTACGAACATCTGACGCTCTGTAATGGAATAAGTAATATATATGTTCGGTAATTTTTGAATTTAGATTTTAAATAAGTTTATGTAATAAGCTGATTAATGACAAAAATAACGTAAACGCAAACAGAATCCAAGTTAATCAGCAGCATTTAATAGTAATTTTTACAAAACTTCTGAATTCCTCCCGCGTCGGTTTTTGCGGATTTGCTGACATTTCGCCAATCATCCTGTTGGCTTCTTCAGAGCTTGACTGAAACTGGCTCGCATTTTACTTTGTTAATTTAAATTTACTCTGCTTATATATTGTTTGAGGGGGACGGAGCTAAATGAGGGGCATTAACACCGTCTCGGATGACTGATTCCCATATTGGTGACAGATAGAGACCAACAGAATGAAGTTTCTTTGAAAAATTAGGATTTAATAGTAAATTAAAATGTAAAGTGACATCAGCGTCATTCTGAGCTTATTCTGAGACACCACACTGATCTTTAAAGTGCGATTAAAATGTTTTCTATATGGAAATATGTTTTTCTATTATATTATGTAAATTTTGTTTTAAAATATGACCGATATACTGGAGGGCCATTATATCCATGATATGGATGCGGTTCGTCCACAGGGATTGCCTCTGTGGCGTAGACAAGAATCGTTTGATGCCGTTTACTTATATCTCCGCCTCAAACGTCGTCGAGCTTCGATTCGACGTGACTGGAATGAACGCCACTGATGACCTGGACACGTTATTTTTCGAGGGTAACTGGAAGTTTATCAGGACGCCGGCCTGTTCCGCCAATTTGAGGAAGGCAGGCGCAAACGGAGAACTGTGGTTCGCCTATCCGACCCGAGCTAACGAGGTAAGTGCTGGTAATGTGTCCGAAACGCGTGATGAATAACTTTATTATTTAAAGCAAACTTAGTTCCGGCAACAACGTTACATTTATCTTTCAGATATACTTCCAATGTCATTATGTCCAAAGGATACTCGAGAAACAACTAATGTTTAAAGAGGTGTTACAGAACCTAAAAATGTGAAACAAGTTCATATAAACATGGATCCGGAAACGATTGGTTTTGATTATGATACAAGATGTTTAAAATTATGTCAGTTTATTTTAAATTTATCAAAAACGGGGTTGAGACATCGCAAAGGTCGCCTTTATAACTGTTTTCTAAAATATTTACATCAGTGGAGCAAGACGACAGGTTCCTATGTTTTCGTTTTCAAATACCAGTAAAATTGTGCATATTTGTATTATCTTTCAGGGAACAGCTTTTACATATTTTTTTCCAACTTTTCGCAAGCATTGGTAACGCGCTTCACTAATTTCTTCATTCATGCTTCATTTCCTACATCAGTTTTAATCACTGATCACTGATGATGATGACTGTTGCCTAATTTTAAGGACAGCTACTATCACGACAAGGAAACAATCACAATACACAACAAAACGACAACTGTAGTGTGGTGTAGTCCAAAATTTTACTATTTTTAAATTTAACGTCCTGTATTGTTTTATCTCAAAAAAATCTCCGTTTTAAAATGATGTATCACACTATGCACTTCTGACCAATCCTTAAAAATCCAATTTTATAAAAAAACGATTGTATTTTGCGACATATTCCACTACTTGAAAAAACAACAAAGAATTGTATTTCTTCTACCAATATTTAAATTGCAATCTACCAGTTCTATCTCTATCTATATTTTTGATTAATATTTTCTTTTCATATTTGATGATTATATTTGATAGATTTATAGATATATTTAATAGATTTAGTTGTTGGAATGAAATATTAGAGGTTTTAACTATCTAAATTTCTAGTTGAAACGACCTGGTATATTAACAGTAAGCGCAAATAACAACCGCATCTACCGACCTGCTTCGACTGTTGAAATCGATAAATTGGAGCCGGTTTGTAAATATTTGCAGGCGCGCTTCACCTTTCATTCGATATTGGTTGTCGAATCGCGTTTACAGTGTTAGAAAACTGTCCAATTTAAGCGACACCAATAAGAAAAAGGCACGAGATTACAGTCGTAGCAAAACAAAACTTGCAGATATTGCCCGCCTCCGTACCGTGGCTAGCTGCTTTATTCGGCTAAGAAGATTATTCGTGTTGGTTGTTTGGCACTTTATTCGATAGCTTCTTGACGCCGAAAACAATACCGGAAGAATGCACTTCTTTAGCTGACTTCCAGCGATAATGTGTTCAGAAACTACGTAAAAAAATTATGAACCAATGCCTGTCTTATTTTGTTATTAATTGAAGGAATTGTGGGAAATTAAAGAAAAAAAACATTCTTTTTTATAAACGAAAATCAATGTTGAGGAATATAAGATTTTTATTTTCCGTCATATCAAATAAAAATTGAATTGAAAACATAAACATAAGATCACTTTTTTTTCTGTTACTCTTTTGCTCAGTCTCAGAGAACTTTTAAGTACTGTACAATGTACAGTGTAAAAGTTTTACTCCATCGGATTTCAGCAAGTAGTTTAAAAAGAAAATCTCAAATGCAAAAAAGGAAGGAAGGAAGAAGGAGCGCTGGGATATTTTCGGTAGATTTTAACAGTGCCATTTTAACGTTACTCAGTTCAGCTGACCACGCCACATCATTCCTATATTATTATGTACGTCTCGTTGTTAGTTATTAGTTTAACTTTTGTTAGGCTCAACCTGGGAGTTAGCCGTCAGGTCGAGTCGAATATTTTAATAATATTGTCAATATTGACATTATATTAATCCACTTTTCTGTCATAATGATCGTTTAAACAGCTCTGTTATCTGAATGTTATAATAAAGGTCTCTTTTTTTAAGTCCTTTTGAAAATTTGGGGGCTAAGGTTTAAACAAAACATAAATGTAAGGTGTAGGCTCACCTTCTGGATTTCTCCTGCGTTGGCTACTTGAAAACGCTATCCGAGACTATTTGATTATTTCGATAGACTCGCGAATTTTTCTTGCGTAGAAAATTGGGTCGGATGCAAGTTTTTTGGTTTTTTCATTAAAATCTGATCTCCTGCTTCTTGTTACCCATTGTTAATATTTTTTATTTATATTAATTAAATATAGAAAAAAACTACTTTGGACTAGGAATAGAAGAACTTTTGGAACTTGTGGAACTTTTTATTCGGTTAAATTATAAATGCATTCGCCGATGAGAATTAAAATAAAACGGGAAGAATGTCGTCGCATTTCTAATTTCCTCTTGTAGCAAACCGTTTAGATAAATGCACAACGCCACGTAAGTAATTACAAAACCGTTCGCCCAAGCAGCATCCAAAATCGGTCGGATTATAAAACTTTAATTTCGTCGTTTTGCGGCCGCAGCCCATATTGCTCATATATAATTCCGAAATCCCGATCAGGATTTCAGCGTATTCCATTTCGCTCTTTTCACTCTCTCAAATATTCATCGGATACATCCACGAGCCCAAATTCAGACACTTCGTTTTTGTGGATTGATCGCCACATTTATTTATGTTCTACCGATGTTTGCCAAATCGTTTAACTACTGAAACTAACGGTTTATTATTTCGATAACGTTCGAGATTAAATGAACTGCGAAAGGTAATACATGAACTAGCCAAACGGTAATGCAACACCGAAGGGACGTTGATGTTGACCTTATTGTTCTTCACAATCTTTAGCACCTTACAATTTCAAAATTTCTCAGTCTGGCTTTGTTCCCTATTTAATTTTTCGCATATACGTCGTACCTACTGCTTCTGCTATTATTTATGTATTTGCAACCAACAACAACAACAGTCCAAAGTTTGTAAGTCAAAGCGATATAGATCTAGGTGAATTAACGCCATAGGTACGTGGCTTGTGTAAATAAAAAACGCTGTCCTAATAGGAGAAGTAAATATTAAAATTAAAATTTTTGTTGTCTAAAAGCTCAGAGCAAGTTAATGATTGAATGAATTGAATTAATTCAATTATTTGTATAACATTACATAAATTTGGATTGATTGATAATGTTTCTCAAATGCACATCAAAATTTATTTTTCTGTCTCCTAGGACTAACTCCTAGGACTTAAGTTTTTTTTTTATTGCTAGAACACTGTAGTTCAGTTTGGAATCAAAATTAATTACGTGATTTCAGGTCAATTGCGAATCCAGTCCACGTGTGCTCATACCGGGCAACAATAAATACCTTTACGTAAAAGTAGGAGGAGCCATATTGAAACATTCCAGCCGATGGAGTAACAACAACACTCTGCGTTCGACCACATCTACCGGCATACGATGCTACACCTCCAATAGAATAATAATCCACACCGCACTCTACAGCGCAATCATTTGTCCCCAAGAGACCATATCGAGGGATCAAATGGTCGAGGTGTTTTCTGAAGGTTGGAAAATACAAAGTAAGTCGGGACACTGGTTTGAAAGTCACCGGTTCTGCTAACGTCAGCCGTATTGTTCCAGCCAGTTCCCCGAACACCGTCGGCCAAATGGTCCTGGATAGAATAGAGATCGACCGTTTAGGGAGGGAGCTGCCCCGGACGATTGTCGCCGAGTTTTATGGGAAGGAAACGGGCACTTACCCCGTCATGTGGCTGGAATTGTCCAAAAGGTCAGTAGGTCGTCCCTATTCGTATGATAATAGCGGCACATAGCGGGTCACTTTATATATACTGAATATTCCAGTTGGGACTAATGTCGGAACAATATAATAACGAAAATATTATAGGTATTTAATGACAACTCAGTCAAACGCGATTTTTGGCGACTTACCATTACTTACTTACTATACGATAGGATCTATCAATTATTTAATTCTGATTTGCAAAGGATTTACTGTTCAGATTGTTTTAAATAATAATAATAATGTACTTTGATAAAACTTCTGGTTTTCTCCTAGGTCGGTTTTTGATGAGTCGAACTAACTAACGTTTCGCCAATCATCCTGTTGACTTCTTCTTCATAGCTTAACTGAAACTGGCTCGTATTTTACTCTGTACCTGCTTATATATTGTTTAAGGGTAGCGGTGCTAAGGGACATAAACACCGTCTCGGATGACTGGATCTCATATTGGTGATAGCTAAAGATCTGAATCGCGGTTAAGATTATTAGGTTGCTTATAAATTTCTATAGATTCTAGATTTTTTGTTTGTAGAAGAATTGATTACATTCAAGAATTTTAGTTTTACCGAATAAAATTTTATGTCCGGACGTCAAAGATAAAATTCCATTTAAGATGCCAGGAGTTTACAGCATTCAATGCATATACGGAAATAATACATTGGAGAGACCGGGCGGAAAATATCAACTAGGCTCAAAGAACATGAAAAAGCATTAAGACTGAGACAAATAAACTCATCAGCAGTTTCCGAACACAATCACGAAACCGGACATAAAATTTTATTCCATTTCTTCTACCAACGAAAAATCCGAGAGTCTATAGAAATCTATAAGCAAACTAAGAATCTTAACCGCTACTCAGAGACGGTATTTATGCCCCTCATTCAGCTCCGCCCCCCCCTCAAACAATATGTAAGCAGGTACAGAGTAAAATGCGAGCCAGTTTCAGTCAAGCTCTGAAGAAGCCAACAGGATGATTGGCGAAACGTTAGCAAGTCCGACTCAACAAAAACTGTCGCAGGAGGAATCCAGAAATTTTATAAAAAGTATTACAGTAGCCTGTGGAAGTTTTTTTGAAGAGAATAATAATAATGTCTTTATGCAGGTAAGAGAACGATCTGAGTTTAAAAAAAAAGAAGCAGGGCGTGTCAGTAAACTGTGATACAATAATAAATACATATGTGAGAGTGCAGGAGTATCGCAAATTTTTAATTTCATTTTTATCTAGCACATCTTTATACATATACAAAAATTTCAGTTTATTAAAACAGTTTTTCAGAATATTGGATACATGGTCTAAAAAGTTTAGGTCATAATCAGCCAACACAACACCCTGAAATCTGTTTGAAAAATAGCTTTGGAAGAAATTCAAAGAAATAAGCATGTATATAAAATTTTATGGTTTACCCTATCAAAAGCTTTACTATAGTCTAAAAGAACCTGTGGTTAAACCGAAATCCATATTGGGAAAAAGGAATTCATTCAGCATAATAATAATTGAATAAGGTAGGCAGTATACCACATTTGGGTACTGGAATTACTAGCGCCACCTTCCAGATAGAGGGACAGTAACCGTTTGCAATATATCTATTTATAATAAAATTTTTATGTAGGCTGAGATGGGGAACCAAATAGGTACATACAAATTTTCTCCACTTCCGAAGCGATGACAGAATGAAAAATAAAAGGAGCAACATCGTGACACTATCCTTTTATTTTATAAACGAGTCAATTACCATTAAATTGAGGCATGTTAAAAAATGGATTGCTAAAGTCCTGTACAAGGCCAAAGTCATGGCCTATAGATTGAGAACTATCTAAATATATCAGAGATTTCCAAAAATTGTTGCCATCGTGATGTCGTGTCAATTTCAGTTTTGTATTTCTTAAACTTGGTAAGAGCTTTATTTCTAAGCTTCATCGTCATTTTTTAATTTTCAGTAGGCCATGCACTTGACGGATTAGATTTTTTACAAGATCTGACCGGTGTACACTTGCCAAATAAATTCAAAACTATCGTGTTGAATCAATCAATCATTTGATCAATATCATGAAAAAAGTAAATACAGTTCCAGTTTATAAGGTGCACGTCGAATGTGTGTGAATGTGTGTGTGTGATCAAAATGAGTGAAATATTTGTAAATTTTGTAAAATGGTTTAGGTTTGAATTTTTCGATTTTAAGGCTACCAGACACCAGAGACAGGATTCGTATTTATGACTTCAGAGTCAGAACTATTAGTGGCCATAAGATCAAGATTTAAGTCATCGCCAAATACAACATAATCAAATTCAGGCAGTACAGCAACTAAGCTACTCTTAAGTTGATCCAGACTCTAAAACAAATTTGCGTGCGGCGGTCTGTAAAAAGAACCAAGACAAACTCCCTGACTAGCGCAATTTATACTTATTCACAGCTGTTCTAAATTATCATTATTCCTATGGTCCGTATTCGAAACCTTGTAAGGCACGCCATGCTTAACATAAAAGACAACGTCCTGGCCCCTGCCTGTACGATCTCTCCTAACAAGATGAAAACCATTTTATCTTTCCGCTTGAAAAGTCCGGTCTTAAGCACGTTCCACAAAGACGTAGAATGGCAAAAGCGCTCTCTGTTATCACAGAATAGGTGAAAACTAGTAAAAATAGACCTAGTATTAAAACGACAGCATTCAATACAAGAATTCATATTAAAATTCCTATTTAAAAATACAAACGTTTACTTAGATTTGTATCGATATATATATATATATATATATATATATATATATATATATATATATATATATATATATATATATATATATATATATATATATATATATATATTCTCACGTATTGATTCACGGATGGAAAAATGTGATGACACTATATTCCGGGATATCATCCGTTCGCTCGTTGAACTCCGACTGGAATCCTGCATCCGACTGGAATCCTGCAAATCTTGCATCCGACTGGAATCCTGCAGACGATTCGCCAAAATCTCACTTGGCATCTTCAATGCTCGCGCTCCGAGTGTTCGAAGTGTTTTCGGAGCGCGAGCATTGAAGATGCCAAGTGAGATTTTGGCGAATCGTCTGCAGGATTCCAGTCGGATGCAAGATTTGCAGGATTCCAGTCGGATGCAGGATTCCAGTCGGAGTTCAACGAGCGAACGGATGATATCCCGGAATATAGTGTCATCATATATATATATATATATATATATATATATATATATATATATATATATATATATATATATATATATATATATATATATATATATATATATATATATATATATATATATATATATATATATATATATATATATATATATATATATATATATTAAATTAATCAGAGAAGAAAAACACGTTCATTATTCAAGCTAGGCTGGCCACCTAAAGGAAAAAAAGAAAGAAAAAGAAAACAAAAAATCATTACATTAAGCCAAACAATAAAATAAAAGAAAAAAGAACTGAAATAATGAAAAGATCCAATGAGAACAAAAACAATTCGAACTTCGCACGACCTGAAAAAAAAAAGAAGAAAATTACTACACTCAACTTTCACAGATCCTCAATAGAGTTCACAAAAGCCTTCCGAAGACATGCCATGCCCATGCATCGGGTCCATATTTTTTCTTCGTCTCGCGCAATAAAAGGCGTGAAATCTACATTTATCGTATAATTAATACCTTTACATCATCACGCTTAACATTATGCACAAAATTCAATATTATACAGCGAGGAACATTTTCACTAGACTTACCCGAAAAGTTCTGCCAATATCTTGAAAGTGACAAGGTATTTTTAAAAAATCGTTTATTATCGAAGCACTTTTAAGAATTAGAGTTTCATTTTCTTGTTGCGGAATACCTATGAGACGAAGACGAAGTTTTGCGTCAATCTCATTGGACTCCTCACTGAAACTGGATTCTAGTTGCCTGGTATATCTCGCAACATACCTTATCCACTAACTTCTCTATATTCTCTTCAACTGCTTCCGGCGATCTCGCTCTGCCTCTAACCATAGTAAGCTATCAATATCAAGAACACCATATTGACCAACCCAAAATTAGGGGCTATGTACAGACATGAAAACTAAAATTTGTTGTTAACTAACCAAGGCTGAGCATACCCATTTCCGGTAAAAAGTGTCTTGTTCGTATAAAGATAAGGCATTCATTTTCTTTATGGTATTTGTATTACAAAACCTACCGTCTTGTATAACCTATACCTATCGTCTTGTTACAAAATTAAGGATGTTTATATAAAATCAACACTCTTACTAGATTCAGTGATACTAAGATTTTAAATTATACAGACATACAGAACATTGAAAAACTATTATAAAATAGTAACTATATTGTTTGTTTGTATATCTTAGTTTAACCAAATTAAAGTCACACCTAACAACGGAAACACTATTTACATTATATACTACATAGATACGCCAATTTCAAAAATCTTACAAATTTATGAGTCAGAATTCTAAGCTAGAAGCCAAGATTAACCAAAACAATATATAAAAATATAAAAACTATATATTACAATATACGAAATCAAAATGCAACTAGTTACTCTTACATTCAGCTCAAGTCTAAGGATTCTAGGGCCGTTGTTACAATTTTCTAATGCTATATTTCATTCTTACGGATAAACATTTCTCAATTTTTTCACAAACCGTTTCAATAACCCTGCCTTTATATACAGTTTCTCATTTTAATTAATTTCTGAAACTGTTTACACAATTTAACTAACTTTAACTTTAACTTAACTTTAACAGATACACAAAGTGTTTGTTTGTATGTTTTTTTTTTAAATAAAGAACAGTTTACAACGGATTAAGTAAAGCATATTTTTACCGATTTTTAAATAGCGTCCCAAAATCTGCATTTGCAAGATCCCGAGGGGTCTAGAAGTTTAGCCCGAGCCACATAAAATACACGTAATCCACCGCATTAAATTAGAAATAAAGCCTTTTTAATGCCTTGGAAAACTGACTATAAATCACATTCCAACTACAAAAATAGTCAGAAAACGTGCCAGTCCATAATGCCGCAAAAGTTATTTTATCCCTACGTGTTACCCTTGCAGAAGATTATTTATAGATTTTTTCCATGTAAATCAGAGCAAAAAGCAGCAAAAAGTTTGTAGGTTTTCCGAGAGGAATCAAAACCATTTCCACTGTAGAAATGCCGCCTTTCAAAGTCTTTTTTTTTAATTTTCACACCGAAATTTATAAGACTGAAGCGTTTCTTGTGGCGATGTAACCCAAGTGTAAAGTGCAAAACGAGAAATGCCAGTGGTATCAACCATATTCCAAAGGCAACTTTATAGACTAACAATTATCTCTTGGAAAGTTGCATATTTCTAGACAGCTCGAGAATGTAATTATGGAGAAAAAAAATGGTTTAATTTTTTTTAACTCTAACAACTCAAGCAAAGAGTGTTTTTTAATCTAAGATACACTTAATAAGTGGATTTTGCTGTTAATATTATAAAACGGTGTTTTAGTTGTCCATCATAAATGTAAAAAAATGGTACAATAGCTATCCAAGTCAAAGAACCACCTTCCAAGAGCTCTAATCCTTATCTTCTCATTCGCCGCTTTAGTTTCTGGACACCCTGTAAGAAAATTAAGTAGAGAATATCGGTGGACTACATAATAAGGCTCCGCGCTTGATTGACAATACTTTAAGACCCTAACAATTTGTTTGCAGAAGAGATGTGCCACCCAATGGCTTAGGGTTGTTCATGATCAAACCCGATTACTGCCAATATCGCTGCCCCGAGTTAGATGCTTGCATCAACTCTTCCGTATGGTGTGATGGAAGGGAAGACTGCCCTTCCGGCATCGACGAAGCTCTTACTCACTGTTCGATGTTGCTTCAGCTACCCCCATTGTATCTGTTTTTCGGAGCCCTTTTCACTATCACCTGTTCGTAAGTGATATCGACCCAATCACCTGAGCTCCACCAAAAATAGATTTTTGCAGTCTCGCGGCGCTTTATATTCTCTGGCGGACCTGCAGAAGGCGACCTAGGTCCATACTGCAAACTCGCCTGCAAAGCCTTTCGTCGGATACTGCCATCCTCGAGGAAAAGGGAGTGATATGTAGCTGACACAGCGACAATTCCGTACGTTACGTAGAAGTCGACAGAGTCACCACGGTGTGAGCTTCTTCTAGCTTGCGGTATAAAAAATTGTTTGATGTTCGATCGCTGCGGATCACCGTAAAAACTTTTGATATTTTGTAATTGTAGAATTGCAGAACATTGTTTAGTATGTGTGAAAGATTCGTCAGTTGCTACGAAGGGTTTTCGTTTTCGTGTGATAGTGCAAAGTTCTCGAAAAGATGGCTAACGGTGATGAAAAATAGGTTATAGTTTACACAAAAACGACCCAGTTCATTTTGGTACCGCTTCTGAACGAACATTTCTGTTTTTATTTTTTGGCGCTGTCTGTGATTTCACTTAATTTCTACTTTTTACACATAATCGTCTAAATTGAATTATTTTGTTTGCTACGGTTGCCCTCTGATATGGGAAATTTATTAATATGGGAGCTTAACTGAAAGTTGTTATTATATTTATCAAATTTAAAACTGGTCGTCAATCGATTGTGTGATCGAGGATTAACTGATAGATATTTTGATAAATTAGTACAAAATATTAAGAGGTGAAAGTAAATACAAAAATATTTCCTGCGAACATAGGTCTTGCGAAATATCCTTATTGAGCCTGCAGCTCGATTTGAGTTGCGACTGTAATATTCAAACAGATTTTTTTTTGTTAATTGTATGGCCAAGTTTTCATCAAGGTATAAGCAATAAAGTCAAAGTAGTAGTATCGAACATAAGAAGTAACAAAAATTCAAGTTAATAGTCATAGCACAGGAACGAAATTTTATCCCCAATCATTCGCAAAGCGGAAATAGAGTTTTAAAAAACCCAGTAGATACGATGCAATTTTTTGATTTTGATGGAGTTTTGTTTTTAAAGCTTAGTTTTGAAATTTTGATACAATAAACAATACCTTTTAGCCTTTGTTAGTGTTAAATGGCTCCATTAAGTTTAGCAACCTTACAAAAAAACGTTTTTTCCTGGCATATAATAACTTGTTGGTATATAAGGAAAATCCCAATACTAAAAACGAGAGGATTGATGACTCTTTTTCATCATATTTATTTATGTATTCTCTAAAATTAATTTCTGTGCAATTCGCTTACATTTATAGCTAATTTGTTTTGTCTTAATTTTCGTGGATATATTTTACAATACCTACAGTATTTTCAAAAAATGGCCCATCTCTACTTTTTACAATTATATATTTGAAACTACTAGGAATGTGGAAGGAATAAGCGTTCCGCCTATAGAAGGTTCTGCAGTTGCTTCTTAAATATTCTTTCCACCTAGATTTGTCCTGTACGATATCTAGTATCTCATAAAGTTATATTTCAACTTCATCCTTCAATCATTCGTAATTTCAATCTTATTTACATTTTTTATAAAGGTTAGTTTTATAAAATTAGCGAAAAAATAACTAGTAATTTTATCTGAAATTGGACCGTGTCTACCGAGCTTTAGTTCGTCCTATCTATAGTGTGTTATCGAATTAATTACACAACACACCAAACAAAAACATACACAAAAAATGTACAGAAGACTGAAATTTGCAATAATGACTAACTATATTTGATTTGTCTCATTGTGATTGCTATAAATGCGCATACAATCTATCTATAGAGCTGCAAAGACTATCTCCGCATTTGTAAATATAGACAACAATTGTTGATTGTACAATCAGCTTTTTATATAGGTAACACGAGATGATTTTTTTACATCCTATATTATAAACTTGAATTAAAGTATGAAAAAACGTTCAGCGGGTGTCTGTTTAATAAAGAAGAACTTTATACAGAATTTGACCGGCGATCCGGAAGGACACGAGTTCATAGAAATAATAAGAATAACAAAAGTTTATACATGTAGGTGTTGCATAGTATACTTAGAATATTTGACTGAAGTCCATTGTTGCCAAGCGGTACCTTCACGTGTCTTCAATCATTCTGTCGACTCAACAATAGGATAACAGAAACTAACCCAAACTAACAAGATACTTGCTTATTTCTACACATAAGCATTTGATTGAAAGATAATAAGCTTGCTAATTGCGATCACACAATTAAACCATTGACATTTTTCCCGTTGTTGAAAAAAATTTTTTTTAATTGCCGCATTTTTTGAATTAATGCTAAATGAAGAAACAAACATGTTACAAATCTTTAAATAAATTACACCAAATTAAACATTATTTTGAATACAATAATTTACACTAAACACATGTGCGTGAGATTTTTACCAATCGTTGTCCCTTGTGCTTGTATTGATATCAATAAAATCCAACTAAAGGATCTTTGTTGCAATGTTTTGTTATAAAAGAAAAGATACAGAACAGAGAACTTTGCACAGTTGATGTTATTGAATTTAAATGGACCAAAAGTTTAAATTTATTTTAGTTTAATTGCCAGTGCTCAGAAAGAAATGTGGCCAGTCGATTACTGTAGTTCTGTTTGTTAACATAGGTCAATGCTGAAGTTAACTACTATGTATGCAGGGTTTGCCGTAACTTATACACCAACAGATCAGATAAACATTTCTATCCGTGTTGTACAACTGACTGCGGAAACACGACCATCTCAACAACGCACATTATTCAATTTTCAATTAGCAATTAAAATAAGAGTACAGGATTGTACTTCTATTAAATAATTAATTAATTGTTAAATTATATAAATCAAGCCATTGGTTTTCGTTGAATGAAACACACGAGTTCTTAGTTGTTAATACAACTCGTTTTTTATTATTCCACCTGTATTGAAATTTTTAGAAAATTAAGTTTGAATTTCAATCCACTACCATTCATGAAACAAATCGTCTTATTTATTCTTAGCCGTTGTTCTAGTACGAATAAGTTATAGGATACCCCGTGTGTGTATGTGTGACAGTGGTAGACAAAAAGAGAAATATAAAACCATGAGGTTTTAATTGATAAATGGTTTGGAGCTTTGGCAATCAGAAGAATTGTACCCAAATCCATATAGTCCATAGTCCATAGGTACGTTGCATACATATTATTTATTTTTTTAATATAGGACCTTGTGATTGCAAGGTGCTGCAACTCCGGGTGTAACTTTTTAATTTCTTCAAATATAACCTACATCAAATATTACCTAACTCAAGATAGCCCGGCCCTGCTTGTAATATTAGATACTTGTTTAATTGTAAACATTTTGTTCTACTGTTTAAAAATCCCAGTTTTAGTTGCCTTAATATGTATTTTTTGATTCGAAAAATAAAGTATATTTTAGGTGATTGCGAGTCACAATTATTATTTTGACAATGTGCATGTTATTCAACAGCCTATCTATACCACCCCACGTGATATTTAGCGAACTTTTATGATTCATTGCTTTTTGAAATTATTAAAATCTACTGGCTAGATTTCTTCCACACTTTTTGGCAATGATTGGGAAACCGTTTGCAATTTTGCTATGCAAAACTCGTTTACAGGTTGTCGCGAATTTCCAGGCTGTATAGTGGAGTAGATGAAATATAGCTTAGTCAATTTTGATAAACAATTAATGAATTATTGTTAGGGTTAGTGAATTTAGGCAATTATATCCAAAGAGAGGTAATTCTTAAAATTCATTGGCGAAACCGGAAGTGGAATTCTGTAACCGAATACGTTAGCTATAGCGATAAAGATAATGAACCAAAACCAATCATCCACCACCAAACAAGCATTTTTGGAGAATGTCTTGGTTGGTATTTACCCCAATTTGTTATGAAAGCTAATATCGGTTAAAACGTGACTACGGTAATAGATGATTTCTTTCGTTTCGTTATTATTTACGCTTTGGGTTACAGAATCTAAGCCTAGAATCTAAATAAAATTTATATAGAAAAAACATATTTTTAAATAACTGAAACAGTTGGAATACTTTAATCTGCTTGTCACGGGTGGTTCAGATAAGATAAATAATTTTAATAATTTCCTCTTTATCTTTAATATACCATAACGTTTAGGCACTGTACAGATGTACAAGGACTGATAACACAGGTTTTGTACATAGTATAAATAATACTTAAATCAAACTTTGGCTCTAGACTAATTGGAGCATAGTGAAAGTTGAATTAATGTTTTATATTTTTTAGATTTTATTGTTTGTTGTTTTTATTTAAATATTAATAGTAATAGTTCGAAGTTACTATGCAAGTACCCTGCTAGCTAATGGACATAGATAGTACAAATTTGTTGACCATTGCAAAGTCGCAGACCCCTAACGTACATAAACATAAAATACTATAAATCAAATGTTACATACTTGCTAACTGCAAATTTGGACTATTTGACCCTATTGCCCGGCAGTGTAAATATATTTATTTAATTGTTATTTTTAATTCGGGTAACTAAGTCAAAATTACCACCCACATTAGAAAATTTTCAAAAATAGTCATTTGTTTGCTAACAAATAAGGTTTTTTTGTAACGGCGAACAGAGCATTAACTCCATTTTTGCCCGAATTTAAAATAAAAATTGATTTACGATGCTTTAGATAGTGTTCAAAAAAATCTATACATGCATATCACGATACTAAAAAATAACATGCAAATAAAACACTGCCTACGAAAATCGGTGTCATGTTCTTTCTGTGTTGAGTTACGTTTTGTGTTTATAATTAGCTGTGATTTTACAATTTATACTCGAACCTTTAAATATGTATCATACGTGTTACTGTTAAAATCTCTAATATTTAAAGAAGCTGTACCTAATACAAACTAAATCCGTTCGGTTATCAAGTACCAATTTCGCAATAAATATAATATGAAATATTTTAAAAATTCAAATTTTACCGAAAATGTAATAGCTTGATGTAATTTTACTAGAGAACCGAACGGTACATTTTACTACTAAAATAAAAATGTAGAAATAATTGGTGGATCATACAAAATGGCATTTGGTTTATTAAACTTTAGTTAAATAACTGCTCTATAAACAAGAGATTTTTTCAAAATCTCTGTATAATTTATGGAAGGTAAATAACTAATAAAAAATAAGTTAATTTTTCATTACTTTCTGAAATACTTTTATTATTACTTAATTATTATTATTACCTAATTCATTTTAGCTCTATTTTATTGCAATGAAGGATGGACATGCTCTTAAATTTGAAACTTGAATAACATAATTATTAAGTTGTAAATAGCAAATAGAATATTCCTAGTTCTAATAATCTATAATAATTTAGATGGTCAGGTGAACTGACAATAAAAAAAATTAGAAGTTTCCTTTGAAAAAAATCGTAACCGCTAGGGTTATAAAATTTTTCATAATATCTAGCGTACTTTCTAACAGCTAACATAAAATACTTTTGTTAATTGAAAGGGTGCGTAAGTAAACTTATGACTGTTGTGAGATTATTAATAAATTATTTTAAAAAAGTTAACTCGGATTTTTTTTCCAAAATTCATTTGCCATCGTTTATAATTTTTATTTTGAAAAGTTATAAAAAAAATTTATTTAGTTTAGATGACATTTATAAGTAAGGAATCAAAAAAAGTTCATAGGCAACGTTTGTAATTTATTGTAATTGATAAACATTTGGCATAAAAATGTCTTCTTTAAAATCAGATCTTCGAACATGTTTATAATATTTTATTATGTCGAGTTACTTTCAAAATTTAAGAAGCAAATTAGGCTTTATTAATTGTATTTGTATCATGACAAACAGCCCATTACAATTTACAATACAATTTACAATACGGGAAAACTATTAACAAACTCTCTATAATAGTTTAATAATAACATTTTTAAATTTCCTGCGGAAATTACTTTATAAGGAAAAGGTAGAAATAATTCAAACGTTGACACCAAATTCAAAACTGGATTCTTTTAGTGTATCAAATTTGTTTTTCAAACAAAAATTCAAAGAACTGGTTTTAAGGAAATACGACTACCAGTCACTGAACTCAATCGAATGGAAGCATTTGTCGAACGCACAAACCAATGACCTATCTTCATTCGCAGCCGCATTTGTTGTGTACCGTATGGATTTAATAATGTATAGACTTCTCTTCCTCTTCTATACAGTAAATGTCTAAAATCTAAAATTTCATAAGTCGTTGAAATTAAACAAAATTTAAAAAAAATTTAGATCATTCCCTCATAAACAGTCCCCATTAGCTGAAGTAAGAGAATATTTGTATGTTTCTAAGGGCACTTATACTATCACAAGAACATGAGCTTGATCTGTATAGCTGCGTCAAGGTCTTTTAAACTTTTTTTATTTATTTGTCGATGAAACCTAATTTTACCGACTAGAGGACCAAAAATAGTCATTTCTTATAAGGAATTTATTAACAAATTTAGCACATCGGGTATGAGACTTCTTTAAGATGTTCCCATTACCTTTGCATTTTGCAAGTGACTTCCATTTAATTGAAATCAACACCGAGCACCCAACAATGAATCACTTTGGCGCCTGCGCCGTTGACGCGGAGGTTCATTTGTAAGTTCATTCGTAGTGTGTAGCCGGATTCCGCGGTGGTGTTTGTGGTTTTGAATTCGTACGTTAAAGTTTTTATACGTTACTTGAGTTTTCGTTTGCATAGTACAAGGCAACTAATACCAGAATGACTAAATCGGTGAGTATCCGTTTATCACAAAGATCGACCTATACCTGGAAATACTAAAATAGAATTTCAAACATGTTATAATCAGGCGTTATTTTAAAATCGGCTTGTTCAGGTGCTGAGGCATCGCGAACAGGCAAAGCGGGGCAAATATTTGCCACTCCTTTATAAAATGTGAATCGAAAAAACTGTTTGCTTTGAAGATTTAATTTAAACTACTGTTTGCAGTTAATTATGCCATGCCATTCAAAAAACTAAATATTTTTAGAGCTTTTAAGGACAGCGTAACTAGTATTCATACAATTTATTGTGGGTGGTCCTCGACTCCAAAATTTATAGTTGTAGTCGAATTGGAGGGTGCTTTGTTCAATTCCAATCAGGTGTCAGTTTATAAATTATAAGTCCAACTGATATCTTAGCTCTTCGGTGATTGGCATAAATAATATTTGTAACACCTTGCTAGGTCATTATTCTTCCCGATCAACTCGTCCATATTTCCCAAGTTTACTGTATTATTTCTAATACAATGTCCAACAGCCGAGACTTTCCACCACCTCCAAACGAGAATCTGTACATTGCACAGTTTTCTCTAAAAAGTTAAGAGGCAAACCCCCTCCCTGTCGGAGCATTTATCTAAATTATCTAGAATTTTACCCTGTACTATACGACTACTATGGTTCAACGAAGCCAGGCTAATAATGTCTGTGCGCCATTTAATTTTTTGCAAGCCCAGGTCACCGTTTTACAAGAAATACCTACTTATTTTTTCCTTGCAACAAGAGCTCAATATCAACCAAACTATTTCTGTTGGACTCCTTATAGTAAAAAGAAAACAAAAAATTCACGTAAATAAGATAAATATTTTAACAACTTTCATTTTTTTGTGCAAAAAATTAGCTGCAGAATCAGGATTATACACGATTATTTTTATAGCCGACAGTGTTTCCGGCTGAAAACTTCGACGATGAAGCGGACTCCCAGGCGTTGAAAGAAGCCTTCAAAGGATTTGGAACGGACGAAGATGCTGTAATAGACATCATAGCGAGAAGGAGCAACGAACAAAGACGGAAAATAGCATCAAGATTTAAAACTATGTATGGCAAGGTCAGTATTGCCATAAAGAAATGTTATGTTCGTAATTCTCGGAAAATATACGCGGGTTTATTATTCTTTGATGCAATTAACGTGGCATAACAGACTGGCGACTGGTTTAAGTTCACAGCCAGTAATAACAAATCAAACCACTAGGAAAAGAAATTAATTAAGGGAAAGTATTTTTGAAGAACGTAAACATATTTTTTAGGAAAAACTCTTAAAACTAGCCAAAAAACTGGGTGATTGTGGACAAAGTAAATTATAAAACTCGGTTTGAGATTTATTAACCATTGCTTTATTTATGAATATGATATTATTATAATATTTTCTTTATATAAATGGAATTTTGTGACACAGTGAATACAAAGAATGTATATGATTGTTTTGGTTAGTTTACTAAGACATATTTTGCCTTTACTACTCTTGCAGCATGTCGCATTATTTTTACCTAAAATACTAAGAGATATGACATTGTGATAGGAACTCATACCTATGAACGCGATAGATTTATTAACTTTAATTTTGCTATCATTTTGAAGAAATGTTTTTTAAAAAACATGAGATCTATTTTTATAAATCGCTTATCTCTAACCTACCGCACTAATTCCCATTATCGTAATCTTTATAACGTCTCGCATTTTCTGACGACGGTAACGAGTCGCATAATAAAAATTGTTCTCGAAACTTGTCCGCCAAGGTCGAGAAAAAAATTAACATAACGGCGATTTAAAATTTAAACTCATAGTCGAGGTGACGAGCTTTGTTCGCCCTGTTGTTTTTACCTAAACACAAGCAGGAAGCTAAAATTGATGGCAGCCAAGCAGATACTTAACGCCATATGACACACAATTGACTCTTTATATTGTATCCTAGAAGCTTCACACTTCAGAGATGATTAGTCGGATTAGCTCTCCGTACAATTTTTTTAATCAATTTTATTTAATTTAGTAAATTCAAGTGAACTATACCGAACGGCCAATCACTACGGACGTAAAGTGAAGCAATAAACATCATCAAAAGTTCATTTTTTCTAGGACCTCATAAAAGAACTGAAAAGCGAACTCAGGGGTAATTTCGAGGACGTAATCTTGGCTCTAATGACCCACCCTGTCGAGTTTCAAGCCAAAGAGCTGCACAAGGCGATCACGGGCTTAGGCACCGACGAGGCCACCATCGTCGAAATTCTGGGGGTGCATACGAACGAGGAAGTTGTGAAAATTGCCAACGGATACGAGGGGTGTAAGTCACGGCCGATAAAAACATCACCTTCGTTGTTAGTTAATTGTTTGCTCTAGTATACCAAACTTCCCTCGAGGCGGACATCAAAGGCGATACGTCCGGCCATCTTAAACGCCTTCTAGTTTCATTATCCACGGTATGTGTCTTAGTTTAATGATATCGCCTCGCACTACTACTACTACTACTCTACTTTTAGGGAAACAGAGATGAGTCGGACCAAGTGGACCAAGAGGCTGCTCGCCAAGATGCCACAGCTCTCCTCCAAGCTGGAGAGTTGCTTTTTGCCGGCACAGAGGAATCTGTTTTTAACGCTGTGTTGTGCCAAAGGAATCGACCCCAACTAAGGCAGATCTTCCACGAATATGAGAATATCACCGGTCACTCTTTCGAGAAAGCGATAGAGAACGAGTTCTCCGGAACTCTCAAAGATTCTATGCTCCAACTCATTCACTGCGTGAGGGATCCAATCGACTTTTTGGCTACCAGGTAGATTAGAGTTGGCGTTATTTAATTCGTTTTTCTATTACTTTGATCTGTATTTAAACTATTACTTTCCAACGTCGACACTAAACGCTTTGCAATTAGGAGAAAGCGTTGAAGCAACTGTTTTAACCATGTTTCATATGTAATACATTTTATTCAAGTATGTAAACCCGAAAGCTGGCTTTTTGAATTGTATTTTATGCAGTTTCTACTCTACAATACCCAATCCTGCACTGCACTTTAAGATATAAGTTTCGTTAAACACTGTGGCCAAGCCACTTTCATCGCTTGCGTTACTTTAGTCACTGATAGAAGTTTGACGCTTGACAGTTCTGATGGTCTGTACCCAAAATTTATTCATAATAAAAATATTGATAAATAAATTTGACCTTCTGATATATTCTCCTTTATTTCGAACACGAAACTTTCTTTTTGATTTCATTTTGATTAGAACTGTACATTATTGTTTCTTACGGTATATGTTGAAACCTATCTCTGGCACATAATAGGCGCCTGACCGTCGCTGCTGGAACGATTCCCACATAAAATCAATAGTCACACGACTATCCTATTGAAATGGAACATATAAGAGCGGATGTATGGAATTAATAAGTGCTTCGTCTTTCTCTGCCAATTGAGTATTTTTGTTTTCACTTCCTTTGGCCAACGTTATATTTTATAGCTATTTTCAATTGAACAATATATGTTATAATTCATTCATTAATTTCGATGGCGATTCATTAATGCGATATACAGGACCATTCACCTTGGGTATCTTTAAAGGTTCCGAAGGACAATTTACAAAGTTTTTCCAAAGTTTCACTTTCGAAATTAGAAACAGAATACTGCAAAACATGATTTTTTTACTATTCTATTATGTAACAAATTTGACAAACACCATTTTAGTCATTTGGTTTAATATACGAGTGACTGAAAAAGTTTATTAACTGTTGCATACTATACTTATTCTACGACCATTAGTTTTTGATTACAACTTTGCAACACTGTACGCATATATTCACTGAGTGACTCGTGACGTGACCGTCGGAATTGACAAACGTCAAAATACTATTGCTAAAATCTACCGAAAATATTGGATCATCGTTCGCGAATACAAGACTAAAGTAAGTGCCTCGCGACCATGGGTAACGAATCTGACGTCTTAAATTGATACATTTCGCAAGCTTTATCCATGCATAAATAGATACTTTCAAGTAGGGTTTAAAAAATAGTATATTATTCAACAAGTGTGGTAAACGACATTGTCACGAGTTTATTTGGTACGAGCGGAGCGAGTGTTTAATAAACAAGACCTAAAAAGTTTACCAAACGTGTTGCATACTATACTTTTTCTTCTCCTTTCTGTAAAATACCTAATTACGTACCGATCTAGCGTGTGGGAATCGTTGGTTTACCGTGCGAGTTTCTTGTCCCATGGATGCGAGCCACTTCCGATTTCCGGAATATTACGGCACGGTTTTCGGAGATTTTACCGCACAAGTTGAATGTTGACGTTCGTCACTTCTAACGGTCATGTCAGTGAATGTTGGTTTGCAAAAATGTATCCAAAAACTAATATTATTAAACACTCGCTCTGCTGCGCTCCGCTCGTGCCAAATAAGCTGCATAATATACTATTTTCCACGACCGTTAGTTTTTGGGTACATTTTTGCACACGAATACTACTACTATAATACTATATAGTAATATGATCGTTAGAAGTGACAAACGTCAAAATTGCTTCCAAACCGGTGCGGTAATATACCGAAAACGTCTCAGTTATTTTTAACATTCCTTTTTAGATTGCACGATGCTATGGCCGGAATAGGAACTGATGATCGAACACTGATAAGAATAGTCGTCGGGAGGTCCGAGAAAGACCTGGGAGAAATCAAAGAAGTATATGAAGCAAAGTATGGAAAAAGCCTGGCCGAACGGATTGAGGTGAATATTTTTTCATTAGTTGTTTGTACCGTTTTCGAAAATTTTAAATCATTTTGATTTTGTTTATCAGCAGGACACTTCGGGGGACTATAAGAAAACACTTCTGACCATCGTCGGTTAATCTGATCACTTGTGCAGTATTTTTCTATTATTATATGTAGCTGTCAGCTTTTGCAAATATAAGTTGAGTTTATATCTGAGATCTTATTGAAAATAAATACGTATTTTATATAAATTTCATTTTATTTTTACGAAAAAAAAACTGTTTTATTTTATTAGTAGTAGGTATAATAAAACTTTAATTTTCATTTTAACATAGGTACCTACATTTTTACACATATACATAACCATCCTTCCTTCCCCGTAATTCTCTTGATTTTTTGCACTGCTTGATCTGGTGAATCCAACTGGCTAATTATGTGTCTTGTAGTTTCAAGTACCCAAAACAATACAATATCGAAGATAGAATTGGCGCTCAAAGTAGGACACACTTTCCAGTTCATATTACATTACATAATCATCCTCCAAAACACCTTTACTATATAGACATTTATTATTACCTTGTCATTCACAAGGGTGACTATGACTTTGTATATACATATGCAATGGAATTTCTATTCTCGGTACATAAATACTTACATATTTATCATTTCGCTATCACCGCTTTCAAAAAATACCTTCGTAAATATTCCCATAGGTAGATATCATGCGAATGCCTGTCGTGTGGAACATTGAATTGTATTACTTATTTAAACAGTGTATCAATAGTCAGCCAAAATAGAACATTATCTTTCCAAGAAAATACCAGGAAATATAATTTATTAATGTGTTGCTATAGTCAACGGGAAATTGATGAAAAGAACCGTTCAATTAGGAATTCATTACATCTAAGAATAACACATTACCATGACTAATACACTAATTTTTCAAACTACCACCCTTTCATATTATTTTCCTTATCTATGTAAGTTTAATGATACTATTTTTATTGCCCAGAAAATAATGGGAGCCTAGCTTGAAGTTTTTAATTTTTCACTAGACATTACTGGCAGTATATAATAATTTATTTATTTTATTGATGTAATCAATTTTTTGACTTTCCTTTATTTATTTTTAACAACTAAATTGATCCACAAAAGGCGAAAAAGTTATTAAACAAGAGCACATTTTATTGTTATAAAAACACTCCTACGAGAAACGGCCTACCTATTTCACACGATATTATTATTACTCCCGGACTAGAAAAAATAATTACTTAATTCAGAAATTACGTGTATGACAAAATTTGATCTAAAGCAAATATTTTTTGTAATTTAAAACTTTTTCTGCGTTAGTTTCCTAAGCTAAAAATGACAAATAGTGAAATTAAATCCTATTATCTTTTTAGTTCACTATAGGTAGCCTAGGTATACCTAAACTGTTGTCATTATGAAATAACTACTGAATAGGGGCCTTAATCGACAGTAAATAAACCAATCCTTGAATTTTGCATGCGGTTAATTGGGTAGTTACGTGAACAATTATCATGTGACTTAGGGCGATTATTTGGGTGATTAGTTATAGCCGATTTCCGCCAACGATTAATTTGTATTTGTAATTTAGTAAGCGATGAGATTAATAAAGTAAATTATGAATTCATGTTATAGCAGTTTCAATGCCATATACATAACAAGACCAGATTATTTTCAAATTAATTACATTAAATATTGAACTGATTTACTTTTTGAATTTCCAATAAGTCATAACTCATTCTTAAAAAAACATACTATGCACATTGTGTAATTATACTTAATTACGAAATTTTCCAGTAATTGACGACATAAACCCCCATATTTAAAGATTTCTGCGTTTTACTTGATACTAGCAAACCTTGAAAGATATCGTGACTCAGAAGGTTAAAAGTTAAAATCATGGCCGTTGGTGCAACACTCCCACTCTGTACAGTCAAAGTGAACAAAACTGTCCACGTCACTTAACCTTCTTTTCACGGGTATTCGCTTTCTGTATTTGCAAACGAAATTCCCAAAACTCGACATAGACGTCATAAACTTTAGTCACCGACCAATATAACAATAACGCTTCCGTTAGGGTGGTTAACAGCAGTAAAAGCAGATAACGTGACGGGAAGGTAAGGGTTTATGTTTACAAATGTTTTTTAGACACGCGAAAATATCTTTCCTGTAGGTATTTCATTATCAATAGCAAAGAGGCGCGGCTGAGGTAATGTAATTGTACCGCCTTAGTTGTGTGTTGGTTTATTTTCCGATAAACAAGTGGTTATCTTTCTGTTACAGGTAGCAAGATGAGTTATCCATATCAACAGGTAAGCAAGAATTTTAGATAGGTACTTAGTGTATATTAGTATATATAACCATAATAGTAGCCCATAATTATAAGAGAGCATTTCGTTATTTACAATTTGGTCATATTTACAATAAATCCTATTTATTGAATATTACACTTGGAAATTGTTTTGTGGTAATAACTAGGTAAAATTACTTCGTGTTAATCTTCGTTTTACCGAGTGTAAGTATCTATATTATAAGTATTACATATTAAGTAGTACCCTTGGTAGTGCCCTTACTTGATATATTCGAAAAATCTAATACACTTTTTGCCATATAACAAGATTCTCCAATATTCAAATAACAGGCACGTCTATAAATACGACTTCTGTTGAAACTAACTCGAAACGTAAACAAACATACATGGTAGACCAAATTTTTTGTGACACTCTAAAATAGCAGATTTTCTATTGTTTCATCTCCGAAATATTGTTTTTATCACAATAACGTTACTCTAGACATTTTTATCAAAGTTGGTACACATTTTTTAAGCATTGGCATAAAGTTTTTGTTGGCGCAATATTTTTTCAAATTTTTACAAGGGGTAACAGTAAGCGCTTTGACTGAAAAAAAATTAATACGCCACTAATTCGTTCAAAAATTAAAAATATTTTCAAAATGGAAATTCAATTTGAAGTTTTGAAATTTTTTCGTCTCCTAGAGATGCCACTAGGGATGTGTTTTGGACCAAAAATATCCGTTAATGCGTGAAAGATGTCACCAAATTAAATACAAAAAATCAAGAGTAATATAAAAATTTTAATTTTAAGAATTTATGTACTTCTCCTTCACATTTCATTAGTGCTCCTTCCTGTTTGCCAGGGCCAAAGACCAGGAGCTCCCTACCCCCCTAGCGGGGGAGCACCGTACCCCCCCAACCCGACTCATCACCATATAAATCCTAACAGTCTGGGCTACAACAGAGACGCTCCCATGTTTATGCCCCAACCTATGCCCATGCCTGCTTACCCACCATCAGCGCCAAACTTCAATTCAGCGCCCTATCCTACCACAGGTGGGAGTGGATACCCTCCTCCCTCTACTGGTGCCTATCCACCTTCTAGCGGAGCATATCCGCCTTCTAGCGGAGGATACCCTCCTTCAAGCGGAGGATATCCGCCTTCTGGAGGTGTGTATCCACCTTCCAGTGCTGGATATCACCCTCCGCCTACCCAAACTGCCTCTGTCGGTGGATATCCACCATTATCTAATATGCCATACCGACCTCCTTCTGGTGGATATCCTCCTCCGCTCTCCCCTCCTGGTGCTCCCCCTGGCGGACATGGTTATGGAGTGCCTCATGGTGTCGCTACTTCCACTCCTCTACACACTACTTATCAACCTAAGGTATTTAAATTTTTGTCTATCGGGATTTAAGTTTAAGTTTAAAATTTGCGCAGAGAACACCCACAGTGGTTCCCGCGAATCCTTTCAACCCTAGGGCGGACGCTGAAATTCTGAGAAAGGCTATGAAAGGTTTCGGCACGGACGAAAAAGCCATCATCAATGTGTTAGCACGCAGGACAAATGCTCAACGACTCCAAATTGCTATAGAATTCAAAACTCTGTACGGAAAAGTATGTTAACAAACACTTAGCTACGATAAGAAATACTAATTTACCTGTTGCAGGACTTAGTAAAAGATCTGAAAAGCGAAACTACTGGCAATTTCGAAAAATTGCTAGTTGCTATGATGACACCGTTGCCTGAGTACTATGCCAAAGAACTGCACGACGCCATGGAAGGAATCGGTACCGATGAAGACGTCCTGATAGAAATCATGTGTACCAAGTCCAATGCCGAGATCATGACTATAAGACAGGCATATAACTCATGTAAGTGGTATTGCTATTAATTACATTCGTCGTAGATCATGTAATTAAACTATATTGTAGTATACTACAAGTCGCTGGAATCGGATCTTAAAGGAGACACTGGTGGCACTTTCAAACGTCTCATGGTGTCTCTTTGTAACGCTGGACGAGACGAGAGTATGGTGACAAATCCTGAAACAGCCAGGGCCGATGCTCAAGCGTTGTTGCGAGCCGGAGAGTTGAGATTGGGAACTGACGAATCCACTTTCAATATGGTTTTGTGTCAGAGAAATTATGCTCAGCTGCAGATGGTATTCCACGAATATGAAAGACTTACAGGTATTCACAAGTTGATATCATATTTATCATTGACAGGAGACAAAACATTATTTTATTACAAAAAAAAAGGGAGATATTTATGTTATACAGAGAATAATAGTTTTTAGGAAGTATTTTTCAAATGTCAAACTAAAAAAATGCTAAAGTAATAGTATAGAATGTAATACCGCGTGACATAAAAAACTCTATAACTTTTAAACGTAAATGGTTTAATTGAAGTCCTAGCCGCCTACAATTTCCAAAAGTAAATAAAAAATTTTTAAAAACAAAAAAAAAGAATGATCCTATTCGGGGTAGAATAATCTCCAAAATACAAAAATGCAAAAACTGTTTAAAAGTTTTAGCCTTCCCACTTTCTTGTGTCACCCGATATCATATATGTGATATGTATATACAGGTCACGAAAAATATCCTGTTATATTGTTATCGTTTGTGTGATAAAGTTAAATGAAGATTTTAAAAGCATTGAAGTGAGATGTAAATATTTTGCGTTATTGCCAAAGGTGTCCTCAGTTCCAATAATATGAGGCTCTTCCTAATATAGGCAATTTTTCGATTCAGTTTCAGTCAGGGATAAGTTTTTAGTATAATTTAATTCTTACCAAGGATTGCGTCGTTCTTGGTACAGATTTCTTTCGCTTAATATCGTATTTGGAATTGCATTTTTGAATTTTTGTCGCATTTCTTTACAATGCTTCAAAAAATATACCTATTTATTGTTCTTTGTTTTCGCATGCGTTTTCCTTTAGACTATAATAAAAACATTAATTTTAATTAAAAAAGTCTACCACTTTTAGCTGAGCAAAATCCCAATCTATCATAAAATTTTTATCGAACTTTGGCCAATGTGCACTGTAAATAGTGCTGGTGATGTAACCCCAAAGAAAACAATCATTTGGTGTTAGGTCTCTCGGTGTAACTCTATCACAGTTACGATAAAGCTATAACCGAATAATATTTTTCGTGACCTGTATGTGATGATTCACAGTGGAATATCAAATGAATTTTTTATTTGCAGGTCACGACATCGAAAAGGCGATCAAAAACGAATTTTCTGGGGACGCCGAAGCCGGACTTCTGGCTGTGATAAGGTCGATTAAAAACCAGGCTGCGTTTTTCGCCAAATTGTTAAATAAAAGTATGAAAGGTCTGGGCACGAACGATAGGGATTTGATACGGCTTGTGGTGACGAGATGCGAAATCGACATGGTTGAAATTAAAAGGGAGTATCAATCAAAGTACGGCGAATCTCTGGCGGACGCAATTAAAGGCGACTGCTCCGGGGATTATAAAAAATGCCTGTTGGCTTTGATTGGCGAATCTTAAACGTTTTCCAATATATCTTCCATACGTCGTCACTTGATGGTCTTTAAAATTGCTTGTTAAAAATTGTAATTTTTCTGCAAAATTTAATTGGAAAGCTCGATTTTCGGTTATTAGTATTTTATCCTTATTAGCTACCTAGAATAATCAGTTTCAAATATGCGAATAATTTATATTGCTGAATTTTTTTCCAATATAACAGATCAGGAGATGAGACCAGAACTCGAATAAACAAAAATTAAGCAACGCTTAAATATTAGAATAAACAAAGAAATATTTATATTTTCAAAAATATTTTTCTAATTAAAATGAACAAAAACATAACAATGAAAAGCGCAATTGACGAGGAACGAGGTTGTGAATTTTTTTCATTGGTAGTTTCAGAGAAATCTGGTTTTAATCTTGAAAATGAAAATGTTACTATAAAAATTAACGACCGATTTGAAATCTTGGTTATCGTGTTCGTGATTGGAATTAATTTCTCCGACTAGCTCGATAAAAAAAACTCTCTATTGTGTCAAATTCTCAAGTGCCCAAAGTCTGCACTTCTGTTCGAATGTATTTGTGTTTGTGATGCCATGTTTACAGCGTCGTGTTATTTGTAGTTTATGTTAGCTTGTTCTATTTTTATATAAATGTATACATCAATAAAATTCGTTTCAGTTAATATGGTGATTGTTTTAGCGTACCGTCATGCATAAAATATAGGCCGAATGCCTCTTACTTCTCACTATTTTTAAAACATCATGAAATAATAAACGAAACCGACAAGACGTGCCAAAACAACTATATCAATCGATTTTTGTTTTCAAAACATTGCGACTCTGGTTTTCTATCTCTTGCAATATTGGTAACGTATGTACGAGGTATGTCCAAAAAGTAAGGTGACTAAGTTTTATAAAAAAAGTATTTATTTATTTATTCATCAAAATTAATGTTGTCCCCTTCAAAGTAATTCCTTACCAGATATAATATACTTGTGCCAACGTTTTCTTTCTGGTATAGTTTGAGTTCTTCCAGCAATGTTTTCTTTATCTCCTCAATCGTTCCAAAACTGAATTTTTTGAGCAGATCGGGATGATCATTGACGTCGTTTAATAGCTCCTTCGACGGTCCTTTTGTTCAAATACAAGCAGTTTCAGAACAAATTTTGTTGCTACACGTTTCATAACCAAAACTTCGGAAAAAATTGCATGGTACGAGCCAATAGAGAAGCCGACTTCATCAGCCACTTCTCAAATAGTGATTCGACGATTTTTCGACACCATTTGTTTCACTTCTTTAACGCTTTCATCAGTTATTGACGTGCTTCTCGGCCATCTTGGAACAGCTTGTACCACTTATAAACATTTTTTTTCTCAAAGTAGATTCACCATATGCCGTTGTCAACATTTCAAGTATTTTGCATCACTGTGTTCCATTTTTTTTTGACAGCAGAAAATTGCCACGCAAATTGAGAAAAAAAAGTAAACTAAACTAAACTATCTAACTAAAAACTAACCATTGATATAAATAAATTCAAATTAAATCAAATTTAAGCATATTTAAAAAAGTTACTTAGATTTTCAAGATTTTAGGCAGTCATGTTTATTACAAGGATATTGAATACAACTTTAAAATTTCGTAACAATGTTTAGCAAGGTAAAATGTCAGTAATAATTATAGGTATTTTAAAAAACTTTAATGCAAAGTACGCAAAATGTTTATATTTTATGAGAAATTAATAAAAGAAATGTTCACACTGTAGGTACCACATGCATACATACAAACTAGGCTTGAACATATTGGAAGGTTCAATAGATATTTAATTATAGATTTGTTTTTGTCATTAAAAATATTTTAGTTTAAGGCGGTCGTTGGCATGGGTTGCTATAAAATCCACTGCATACGAGACAAATCTATATTGGATGTGACAAAAAGAAGAATAACTTGTTTCCGCAGAGTAAACACGTTGAAAACACAAATTGAGATTCAGTTATAGCGAAATGCAGACAAAAAACAAACGCAGCTTTGGGATATTTAAATTGTGAATTTCTGGCATTTTTTTTAGACATTCGATATATAAACTTCATTTTAACAATGGCAGTGCTACAAACTGAATGTCGAAATATAATTCTGACTAGTTACCAAATTTGCCAATGTTCTAATCATTTCAAAAATATACTGAATGTCCCATATTGAGGGCGACGCCAGTGTCGGTAGTGACAGACAAGTAAAAACATTTTTAAATGAAAGATTATTACGTACTTAACAACAACCTAGTAAATTTTTAATGAACGGTTTGTGTAAACAAATTGGATAAATATAGGAAGATTTTTTTAACATTCCGTTTAATTTCACAGAAAATAAAATTGTTTAAATTTGATTATAAATAAGGTGTAAGCTGTTTTTAAGTTAAAATATATGCCCATAAAGTTCATTGCAAAATTTCATTGCCGAAATTGCATTAACCATAATGATACGGCAATTTTGAAACTACAGTCAACAATTTTTGTTCTCGGTAGTAAATTAATTATTTCCTAATCCAAAATCACGTCCCCATGCCAGGACTCGAAAATTTGGCACGCTTTAAATTTTTCAAAATCTCGCTCGCCGAAACCTGAAGCTTATAAATTCTCAAATTAAAAATGAAACAAAAAATATTAATCCTTTTTAACAGATTTATAATTTTTCAAATCAAAATGGGAACCGGTATTATACTTTGATTTACACAAATAACCGTCGGTATACGCAACATCAACACTCACATCCTCGTCGACATTAACAAAGGCGTTTGCAATAAAATTTATAAAAACCGTAAAATTTATTTTTGGTTTGGTATATAACCTAGAGGAACACGGAATTTTAATCCAGTGCTACTCGATTCCTCCTCCAGTCTTTCGGTTCTTTTCCACAGTCCGTTTTTCATTTTTAAAGTTTGTTCGAACTTCCAACATAATGTCAGCAGTAAGTGCACCAAATTTAATATGTAAATAGTCTAATGGCGAATAAAACAGTAGAATTGGATTTTCACTAAAATGACTCCAAATGTAGCAATAGGAAACTAAAAATTCGTTGATATACTTAATTAATATATTCCATCGTAATTACAGGTACATACTTTTAAACTACAGCATCAATTGTTATTGTTGCCTTGCAAGTTAAAACTGAATAACTTTTCAAAATTTTCGCTAGTATTATATATTGTTTCATACTGAAAGATGCAGGATCCTATGTTTTCATCATATCCGTCAATCTTTTATTAACAAAATGTGTTATTAAAGTTCGCATTACGTCGCATATAATTAGGAAAAAATTATAAAATACGAAAAATATTGTAAAATATATCACATTCACATCAATTGCTGATATCTCGCCATTCATCCTGTTGCCTTCTTTAGAGCTTAACTGAAACGGAAGAAGCCAATAGAATGATTGTCGAAACATCAACAAGTTTGATTTATCAACACCCGACGCAGGAGGAATCCAGAAGATATGTAAACAGTTTTATAGAAGCCTGTGGAAGTTTCTTTGGAAAATATATCCCATTATCTTTAAAAACTTGTTTTCATTAAGATACTGTTTTAAAAATTTATACTTCAAGGTAGGTTAGTTCTGTTAATAAGAATGAACACTATAGTAATTCGTTATTCTAGTTTCGCGGAAAATAAGTTAAAGTATTTGCTTTCCCAGGTAGCAGAAGGTCAAAATGACGTCATTAATTGGCCACTAAATGACCAAAAATTGCGTTATATATGACGACAGCAGAACGTGAATTTGACCTTCGAATGTCTCAGGTGTCATTTAAGTGACGTAAGTTAATGTCGTCAATTTAAGTGGCGTCTTTTTTACGTCAGTTGGAATCGTCAAGTTTTGTCATTACTGCCGAAAAGTATGACGATTTTGAAATTGAAATTCTTTTTGGAGGGGCGAGAATCGAAAATAAATCAAACAGAACCTGCTGCTTAAATTACATAGAACGACATTTACTGTTGAGGAAAATGGAGAATTAACGGTACAGAATAAAGATGAGCATTTCGTTTAAAAAATATATTCATTGACCGCATATTCTAATAAAAAATATATAAAAAAAAAACGCACCTGTAAAACAAAACCAGAAGCATATCTAAGATTTTCTTAAATTTATTAAATTTATGCCAACGTCTAAAAGAATTTGTATCATTTAACACTAAAGTTTTTTTTTTAGTTGTCTCCATGCTAACTTTATATCAATCATCACTAAATTGCAGTTTTGTTGCCTCGAAAGTTCCTTTGAGATGTCTACGTCCGGTCCACAATTTCTTTTTATTTACGTTTTGACATATTAAAAATTCTTTGAAAATACTTATTACAATACACTCAAAACTTATTAGCGAGCCATTTAAAGAAACCTGCTTATTTGATCTGATAACAACCCTGGTTAGTTTTGTCTAGCGACATCTCTTGATAGTCGCTCCTTGGCATACTTACATACAGTTTCAGTTGGGCAGGAGATTAGGTCTTAATGGCACCTAGAACAGAACAAGCAGTTTCTCAACTATTACATTTATTTAGTTTTTCAAATATTAAATATTTTAAATCTAGGCCAGCCATTTTGTTAGAATTAAAACAACATTTAATTCTTATAATTACACAATATCTATGTGTGTTTTTAACGTATTAAATAAGCACGGCTACGCAATCGTCACAACCACAACTCTATATAATATATAATAATAGTAAATTACAATAGCAAACGTGAAGTGTAATGATTGCTTCCCTCCTACAAAGCTTTACCACCGGAAGCACAGAATACTAAGGTTAATCAGTGATATCGAGCGACGAATTTAGAAGCAGGGTTGCCGTTTGCTAACTACTAGGGGAAAAATGTCCAAAAAGTTCTTCAACTGATTTCGATAGATTTATTATTTTTAAGTGGGCATACTTTTATCTTACCTTTGCAATGCGCGTGAATTTAGCAACACTCTTATTGACACGATGGCCGACTTAAACGCATCCTGAGGGATTTTTAGTTATGTGAGAAATTTGACTAAATTAAATTTTAAATTAGGCGGGCGGGTCATCGTGAATATAATCTTTGGAGTATAATGAATATGTTTATTATAAAAATTAATAATATATATTTATTATGGATCTAGTAAATATTGTTATATATTACTGTCAATAGCCAATAGTCCAAATTCACTTTTATCTATTATAGATACATGTATTCTTTTAGATCATGATTTTAAATAGAAAAATTTCATAATAGTTTAATTTTTTTTTTAATTTTGAGGTCATTTTTGTGATGTTAATAAGACGTCTTTTTTACGTCAATTTGACATGTTTCTCGGACCGCTGACGGGAAGCGACGACTTGTGACTCGAAAATGACGTCACTTCGACGAGTCTCTGCTACCTGGGTTATTATACTACCTACAATTATTATATATTTCGTCGTTAAAGTTGTTGTTGGCGCTGCATAATAGTGACTCTTCGTTGCGTGAGTCGATATAATCGAATTAGTGAATCAGACTGACATATAACCCTACGTTCAGAAATGATCGGAACATGGTTGTTTCACATATTTGATGTTAATTTCGACAAGCAGGCTGCAAAACCTATTTGGGCTATTTATCTGGTACATCTGGTTTATGTGTGTTGCCAGGTAATGTTTTGTTTACAAACTACGTCGATTTCAATCAATAAC